AAAAACATATTTAAAGTGATTTGTGATCGTTCGAACAGATGATTAGTAATTCACATTTTCGGAGATTCTTAATCTCTGTTGGTTAATAAAGAGGACATTTTGAAGTTCGAGTTACGCACACCTGGTAGTTATGGACATATCCAGTGCACTGAAGTGAGATACACCAGATGAAATACAGAACTGTAGTAAAGGTTATGGTTCGAAATGAAAATTTTAGAGCGAATTACAATTCGATATGCAGCATTTGCCAATTGAATCAACGCAAAAATGATCGAAAGTGTTGAATGAGATACAGTGAGCCTAATAGTATCGCAGATCACAGTCCATTATTAAGGTATTTTATGCTTGCAATCATTTTCTTAGATGTGTGTACCGATAATAAATGTATATTACAAAACAACGTAGTTATATATAGATATATCTTCAAGTATAAGTTTGTTAGTCTCAGTTGACAGCTTGAACTTTTGGTTTGTAGTCGTAAAAAAGCAGTTAGATAATAATAGTTATTTGACACACAAAATAGTTGATCTAATGACATGAGTATGTCTTTCGTGGTTTTGTTATAACTTGAGAGACGTGCGATTTGAGGAGAGAGAGAATTATTGATCGGACCAAAGAACGTAAACACGTGAGAGAAGACTAGAGTTCTGATTGGTCCTGCTTCCCTATCTAGCCCAGCCAGATGAGTCCAGAACGCAAGTCTCAGCCTCTGTGATATGAATCATTATATTTCAAACATACTCTGTTTATATACCAAACAAACAGACTACATCGTACCATAAAATAGAACGTAACATTTGTACAAGATTTGACCTCCAGGAAATGACACAAATAAATATTGACCAACGGGAAAATGACACGTTGGATGAATATTGACCAATGGGGAAATGACACCATTTCTCATTCAGGAATAGCATTAGATAATTTCTGGGGTATTTTCTGAATACCCCAACAGGTTTACAATAGCGAAAATTTCAAAATATGTTGTACAGATCATATTAAAAACTAAGTATGATGTCTTACATACTAGTCCTAAATAAATTTACTAATTATGTACCGAACCTTGTATTGAACAGCATAAAAACCATATTTGGGGGAATTCAAGTATTTAGCGTGAATTCTAACCGATTTCAAGATTTATAACGGAATTCATAAGTGCCCTGATTCTGATGTATTTCACGATATTTGCTAAAATATCACAATGAGTAGTTGACATATGTAGAATTTAGTCTTGTCATATGGTTGATTTTAGAATTTATGGGTTGTTTTATAGTTGCTTAACCATAGGGCAATAGAAGTGATGAGTGAAATTAACTAAATGAAAGTGCTTACTGTGTAGTCATGATTGATTCTGGTTATGCTCTAAACTAAACGAATGACTAGCCAAATACCACTTGAAACGAATATTACATCGATTCAGCTTAACTTTACTACAATCTGTTTTCACTTAACTAGCAGTGTTATTAAAAAATTACTCATTTGTTGAGTCAGTCAGTCAGCTGCAACGTAGGACCAGGCACATATATACATCGGTCCAAGTTTTCATACCGCATTAGCACAACAAGATGAACACCAGATTCATAAAAGTAGTCACATCAAAGGTAGTAGTATATAAAAGGAAGATTGTGTATAAGGATATAATACAGGAAGAAAGAATTAGTTCGCAGAAAGAAAGACATGAAGCGATTTTAATCTCTTAGTTTAAGGGAAGACAGAGAGTGTATGCACCGACGCCATTGTGATCGATTTTGAGCCATGTCACTACCAGTCTCCAACCATTGATTACGATAGTCACGCGGACCTCAGTCAGGTAGTCTGCATCTACCAACATGGCTCAGACCAGAAGTTAGTGACTTCAAGCACTGATGCCACGTTTTGGTTTGGCCGCCCCTAACTTTCTTCCAATCATCCCTAACACCGGTTACCATTGCGCGCCGTGGTAATCGGTGTTCAGGCATACGCAGCACGTGGCCCAACCATCTCAGTCGATGAATGTTCATAACCTCATCAACTGATTTACTATCATTCCCTAATACCCTACGTCTAACCTCACTGTTACTTACCCGATGATCCCAGCAGATGCCAGCAATATTTCTAAGGCATCTGTGGTCAAATACTTGTAGCTTACGAGTATGTTCTACTCTTAAAGGCCATGTTTCGCAGCCGTGTAATAGAACGGAACGAACTGCCACACAGTATACTCGCCGTTTTATTGATAGACGGATATTTCGCCTTCGCCATAGATGACGTAAGTTGGCAAAAGCCAAACGAGCTTTTTGAATCCGTGCTGAGATTTCGTCAGACACCAACTCATTTGGGTTGATCAGACTTCCAAGATAAGTGGAGTTGTCAACGCGTTCTACTACTTCACTCCCTATCCTTAGATCAGGTATTGACGCAGACCAGTCTTGAAGCAACAACATGCATTCAGAGGTAGAGAAGCGCATCCCAAACATCCTGGCATTGTTACTCAGTGCTACCAAAAGACTCTGCAATTCATCAGCGTCTTCACCAAACAGGACTGTGTCATCTGCGTATTATAAGTCGATAAGTGGACCTCCTGGTAGGAGATCAATGCCTGAAAATTCAGCCCACGAGAACGTTGTTTCCATCAGTAGATCTATGATGAAGTTGAACAAAAATGGAGAAAGTGAACAGCCTTGTTGGACACCACTTGAGGTTGCCAAAGCAGATGACAGTTCGCCATAAGCTCTGACTCGACTAGTAGTGTTCGAGTAAAGAGCTTTCACAAGGTCTATGTACTTCTGAGGTACGCCTTTCAATGACACACTGCCACAGAACCTCTCGGTCCACAAAGTCAAATGCTGCTTTTAAGTCAAGAAAGACCACCATTGTCGGACGCCGATAAGTATGTCTGTGTTCTAGAACCTGACGAATGGTGAGTATGTGGTCTATGCATCCACGGCCAGGTCTGAAGCCAGCTTGGTTCTCTCGTGTTTGCAGTTCACGAGTCTTAGTTAGACGTCCGATAATTATCGAGGCTAGTATTTTAGATGCTATATTAGTTAAACTAATCCCTCTGTGGTTGTCACAGTATGATTTTGACCCTTTCTTAATTATTGGGACGACAAGTGATTGTGACCAGTCAGATGGGATTACGTCCAACTCCCAGATTTTAGCTAAAATACTGGTCAACGTAGTCTCTAAAATTGGACCACCATCCTTAAAGATGTCTGAAGTCGATCCATCTGGACCAGCTGCCCTTCCTCGCTTTAGCCTTTTGAACTTCAGCCAGAGTTGGAGGACCCACTTCAATGTTCTATTCACACTGTCTGTGAATGGTGGGTAGTTGTAGAGTAGCTGAAGGCCAACTGAACTGCTCCTTAAAGTGTTCCGCCCATCGTTCTAAACGTCTGGACTGGGAGCAGATGAGAGTGTCGTCTTTTTCCGAAATAGTCTGACTTACACTTGATTTATTAATTCCAGTTTCTTTTATGAGTCTGAAGAGCTGTCTGGTATTCCCTATAGCCGCCGCCTTTTCCATCTCTTTTGCTTTCGTTGCCCACCACTGCTCACGATCATTCCTTAGAATTTTGGTTAACCTAGATCTGATTTGTTTCCACTCTTCATCGTGCTCAGATCCTGATGGGATGAGTTTACGCGAATCCATCAGTGCAATAGACCTTGAAGAAATCCATTGGTTCTTGTAACCCTTTGGTCTAAATCACTAATAGATGTCACTGCCGTCTCCACAGCTGATTGTATATCTTTCCAAGCAACATCTGGGTCAGCCTCGTTTTCAGAACTACCTAAGTGTGACCTCAGTTGTTCCTGGAACCTACTTTTGGTCTTCTCGTTATTCAGTTCTAATGGATCTTTTTAAAGTGGCTTTTTTGCGTTCAGTGAGGCGCAAGCAGATGCGTGCTCGTATTGGGGCATGGTCGGAGTCCAAGCAGGTACTCCAGAACGAGCGTCAGTCATCTATCGAGCATCTCCAACGATAACTGATAGCAATATGTTCTATTTGAGTCCAACGTTGATTTGGTGCAGGGGTCGCCATGTTAGACGATGTCTCTCCTTATGATTAAAATTTGTGTTTGCTGAAAACAAACGATTGTCTGAGCACAGTTGCAGCAGACGATCACCACTATCTGTTCGCTGTGCCGGAATACTAAAATACCCACCTAAATGTCTTTCTGTTTCGTTTAAGCTACCTACTCGGGCATTAAAGTCACCTGCTACGAGTACTATGTCTGAACGTTTAGCTTTCTGAAGAAGTTCAGACAGCTTTCTATAAAATTCATCTTTGACCTCATCCGGGCTGCAGTCAGTGGGAGCGTAGGCAGAAACGACGAAAAGGCAACGACGTGTGTCCCTATGCTTCCTAGTTCTTACGGAGCCATTTAGCCGAACAGCGCATAGATGACTGTTAACGGAGATCCACTCTAATAGCGCTTGTTCTTCTGGAGTTAGCTGAAAAGGAAATTGAATTAGAGGTGGTCATAGTGACCTAAGAGCGTGACCGCGTTGGCCAAGGGACAGCTGCTTGAGGTCGGTTTACGCCCGACCATTTTGTGAGTGATTTTCGTGTTAGCTCAGTACTTGTTGAGACCTTACCGCCGGAGACGGATATCCGTGGGATTAGGCGAGGTGTGCATTTCTAGGGTGGACCTTTTCTGACCTCACCCCTCCTTATGGGAAGGCAGCATCGCTGTCATGCTGGTTGTCTGACGGAAACACCTTACTGCTGTCACACCTCTGTACTGTCAGCAGTACGACTTTGCCTTCGGACCTTGGATTTGTTGCTTTTAGTCTTACCGCTCTTCAACCGACCTGTCTGGCATGGTAGGACGTTGAGGAATGGTTGTTCCGGCCAGTATAGCTCATTTGCTTCATCACGATAGGCTAGCCCGACCACCACGTCAACGTAGCAACAACCGTCGGGACTCATTTGTTGAGTCGATATGTGTATCCCGTATTTCTTTTCTCTCAATTGTCTCATATTTACATTATTCCTTTACTAATTACAACATATTGGTGCTTCACAAACAGATTGTACTGATTCTAACTTAGGTTTTCGATAAACTCTGGGTTGATAATACAAATAAATTACTAAAATATGTAAGTACACAAACTTTTATGAGCATGCAAGTAAAAGAAACGTAGATTTACTTTAAAGCAACATTTTGAATGATTTAACTGTTCAGTTTTTCTATGTTAGCTTGATAATGATTGTTATAAGTCGTTGATTATTCGTTGTGTGTGACACGAGTTCATTTAAACTGAAATATGTCAGGATTTAACGCAGTAAATGGATTGAAACAATAATGCGCCAATCTAGCAGCATAAGTATATATATATTACAAGACATTTAGAACAGATCTCGGAATTTCCATGTTTTTGAGCATATTCAATACGATTATTTATTCTATCCTCACTATGTATTGCTAAGCAATTGAGCAAGTGACTTAGTATGTAAGCCTATAGACTTCAGAACATGGATCGTAGATTCGAAAGCTCCGACTATTTTGGCTACATATGTTTGTATTTACCAAAAAAATATTCTGAAAATTTATTTTCTTTAAACAAATGAAACAAATAAAGAAAATGATTTTGCATTTCAATTCATCATATATAAACAATATCGATCCAATCTTTTCACAGAAAAACAGTAAGGATAATCATATTCTTAAATAAAAATTCAAACTGTTCAAATGAACGAATAAAACTTAATTCATTAGAAAAAAGAAACAAAATATATGATAAAATAATTAGACAATAATTATTTTCCAGGGAGAGAGAAGTAGATGACGAATTATTCATATACTAAAGTATAAGAAGCCATTAAATGATTCAGTAAAACAACAAATGAAAGTCGATTTCAATTCCATAGGAAAATTAAGTTTTTCAAAGAAAAGTTCACTTCAATAGTTATATGACCATTGAAAAAAAGAAAAAGTTCTTGAACTAAACTAGAAGCATCTATAGTTAGAACGAACTGAATAAATTGAAGTGAATTAGTACAGAGAAAGTCAATCAAGTTGATATAGAATCTGACTTGTAAAATACTACTAACTTTACCATCTTGTCTAGTTTTGATTAAACAAACGTTATCAAAGAAATGAGTTAAAACGACAACAATATCAAGTGTTTTATTATTTTTTCAAAGGAAAGGTAGGTCGGAATGAACAGTAGATAGGGAGAAATATCACTGCATTTAATACACTAATCCTGACGAAAAAACCAGGAATTTAGTGTAGAAGAGTGAATAGAAATCTTGAAGAGTATCTGTTTAATCAAAAATGACAGAGAAAATCAGATCAATTGACCAACCAGACAACTAATCAATCATAAGACTACCTATATATGTCGGAGGAATATACGAAATATATAGTAGTAGTATGGAGAATGCTGGTGGGCGGCCTATGCTCCTCCACGAGAGGCAACAGGCGTAAGTAAGTAGTAGTATATAGAACTGAGCGAAATCATTAACGTATGAAATAAAAATCAAAAATTAATATTAAAATAGAACTTATTCAAGCAAATAACACACACTTATACACAAAAATGAAATTATTTACTGGGAGAAAATGACAGAACCCGTGAGATCTTTGAAGAAAATAAAGATGCGACACAGGCAACTGAAGAGATTTCAGATACATATGTAAATGTATGGATAATATTCTGAGTGCTAAGAGACGCTTAAATGTATGACTTTACTGAAGAGCGAATGAGAATGAGCGAAATACGCGCAGAAAGAGAGATCGACCAACGAATACATTTGTGTTGGATATTTTTGGCTCTATGATAAAAGTGAATTGTGAGAACAATAGGAATCAACAGTGATAAAAACAAGTAAACAAGGAAATGAATGAAATTTTCATTTGCTTGTTAAACAGTGAAAACATGATACATGCCACCAAACAATTAGGCATACATAATACTATTTTAAAAAATTGGTTTATGAAAATGAGGGAAAAAATACTTCAAAGGAAATCAACCTGGAATTTGTATGTATAAATCCGTAAACTATATGCATAAATTAGAATAAATAAATAAACAACACACTGATTCATGAAGTTGGTCGAGGAGGAATGCGCGGCATACCAACATTACCTGGACGTCTAGATTTAATAAAAATGTAAGCGGAAAAAAATGCAGAAAACGTTTGAACAATAGTAAAACAGATTATGCACAATACATCTATAACCAACTTATACTTTAATATATATATAATGTATCAGATTTTAATCCAATGAATAAATAGATTAGTGTCAGTATAACTCGTTCAAAACAGATGAACCTATTATATATATGCTTTTAATAATTTGGTGTACAAAAGCTTATCAGGATTAAATTAAGAAAAGACGAACATAGTTGGATATGAAAATAATTTCTTAAGTGGATAATGTGTTTATAGCTAGATAAAGAGAGAATTGTGTAGATCGATTATAAGCAATGACTAACATTGAAGTTGTGAACGATTAAGTTAAGCGATCCGACATCTATAGCTTGAATATTCATATCAACAAAGTTCTATTCATATACAGGGTTAAACATACGGTTATTCGACAAACTTCAAATACACTTTATATAGAACACTATCAGATGATAACACTGAAAATATTAGGTTAAATTTCAAATAAAATATCATTTACGTATAGCAGGTACTTAACGAATAATTTTCAAATTTTTAATCTGATTACTTAAAGAACGTTGTGCGCATACATATCTAGATATGATGAATACATATATTACTGCAGACATTGTAAACTCTTGAACTGAAGGACTGAAATCAATGCAAGAAGTGTAGATCGTAAATTTTGAGAAAAAAACTTACTTATTTCGTAGGCTCAGTTAATTCTAAGCAGAATTTATTGAACAGTTAGTGTAATATCAATAAAAATTTAGTAAATGGAAATTCATTGTTCATTTTATTATTTTTATTATAAACAGCCTGTCCCGTAATAAGTTTATTTCAAATATCAAACTAAACCTTGGTAGTAATACTAGGTGTGAACGCGCTACTGGTCTAGAAAATGATCTAAAGACTACTGGTTTGATCTCTAAAATGATTCAATTTATTGACCACGTACAATGTTATAACAAATGTCCGACGTATGTTACGTTTTATAGCCTTTTAAGTGATGTCAACTTATATAAATGTTGTTAGCATGGAGTCACATGTAACATCAAATATTACTGTATTTACGTTATTGCAACTGAACTAGATTTGATCTTCGAAATCAATTGAAATTAAAAAAAGCTGCTTTATATTAATTATTAAGCTAAAATAAACGAAAGTTATACAAAATTATTATTAATAACAAATAATAATCAAAATATTAACTGGAAGTCGAATATCAACACAACAGAATGAAACTCACTCTGGTATACTTGGATGACCAAGATTACCAGATAACGATGTTAATTTCGGTGGTGGAATCGGTGGAGTTATTGCACTTGATTGGGATTGATTAAAAAGAGGATCAAAAGAAACCCACGGTGCATTAGTAGTAGAATAAGTGGTATTTGGTGTTGAACCATTCGATGGGTTAGTAGTCATAAATGTATTTCCACCAACACCACCGGAAGATATAGTACCTGGGAGGTTACCAGTACTCGCACTTTGAGAAAGACCATTATTGAATTGTGGCATTCGTCTGCAGATTAATATAAAGAATATATATATAAATGGTATATAAGGAATTAATCTTAATTAATTATTTATTTATTTTAGCACAAAGATATTGGTACAAGGAGGCATCAAATACATATGCGCCACACTAATCTTATTTGATATGTGTGAGGGCTGTGATACTGACCGGTGCCCAAATCGAAGCAGGTGGTTTTCTTAAAGGGCCACACCCGGAGCCTTCGACGTAAAGGTCTGATCCAAAAGGTAGTGGAGCATCGTAAGGAGATGCCGTTCCATGGTAACCAGTGGCCAACGATTGGTTCATACGCCATTTGTTCCTTCAAGATACTGGAGCCCATGTGCACCATTGGTTTGGAATCAGGGTTTTCCGACTCCCCTAGGTGGACTCTCCGTGTCCGCCAACCCAGTTAAAGCACCGGAAATTCGCTTTTCGTCCTCTCAATTTCGTAAACAACACCCCCGCCACGAGAAAGCAGTGAGTAGAACTGCGATAAAGCAGTTTTGAATAAAACAGGTTGTTGTCATTTTATAACTAAAACACGATCATAATATTGATGCATAAGAAAGTTTATTCCTGTGCTAAAAGTAAGTGACACTGAGAACCTTGAGCCAATAAGCGGATAGTGTTCAGTTATACAATAACTAATAATGAAAAGCGATAAATAGTTTGATATGATTTACCAAACTATACATGTTGAATTATTTATGATAGTAGAGGAGAAAGGCTAAGATTACTTATTAAGAAATGGATAAGTGTACTAAGTTAGGATTAGTTTTTGTTACAAAATGATATCAGCTACAGTGATGTTTTGTCAGCTCTTTATTGGTTAGCTTATGAAAATTAGGGTTGAGAATTAAAGTTGGAAAATTCTAACACCTCTAACTATGCATCGAATCATATCAAGTAATATTACATAAAATCTGCATCAGGACGAAGTATTTCTTGTAATTTAACCTAAACATTACGTCACATTTACTGTTTGGCAACACAACAGATATTTAAAAAAAGTAATTATACGTGTTCAAGGAACTATATATTGCCGAATTTCACTTAGTTTACAATGAAATACAAGTTATCTTTCACTGTGTTTTCAATTTCAAGCAAACGTGCAAAAGGTGCTATTTTAATTCTGATTAGTTTACCCAAGGTCGTTGGTACTTTACCAATTCGGTCTTAAGAAAAGATTTCAACTAAGATAGGTTAAAAATTTATATTAATTATATAGTGGTAATTATTAGTAACTTGGAGGTTCATTTATTAAATTAAAAGCTTAGATCAAGATATTTGACATAGAGTGTAGATAATAGAGAGAAATTTATATCTTCCCAAATATTTATTCATACAGCATAGTAGTAGAGAAAACAATAAGCCCGGAGACTGGTTAAAACGTAGAAATGATATGAATGTCGATAGAATAGCCAGTAACATTTTCATATTGAATCTAAGAAAATTATACTAAATAATTACAATTTGGTAAGGAGAGAAACAACGGAGAAAATTTTTGTATTACAAGTTATGGATAAATATGCATAAATTACAATGAAATATATTAGTTTCCACTAAATTAAATTACTTACAAATAACTGAATTAAAAAGGAAATGAAAGTTTCTAAGTTCAAATAATTCAATGAAACTGGTGTCAATTAATATTTTGCCTAAGGAAAAAAAAAGTATCTACTATAGAATGAAACTATTTTTTATTTGTATTTCAATTGATTTATGAGATAGAAAAGGATGACTTTTGATTTTGTGAATACATTTTATAGATCTACAATATTTATCAGATTTTTCAGTAATTATATAGTCAAAGAACGGTTCTTATTTATAAAATGTTATTGTTAAAATTTAGAACTTTACAAAACAAAAGAAATAGGTTGGATACAAAAATGTATCCTTAAAAAACATCAACTGGTGTGTATGTGTATGACATACCGTTTTGCATTAGATTATTTCCTGAATCCAGTAAAATAAAATTTCAATATGGTTTTCTTGTTTATAGAAGATTTAATCTAATGATCAGGTTAAATAATCCGAAGTAGTTTCATTCGCTTCATCTATACGTCTTAACCAACTAGATACTATAAGTCATGTGTCACATAACTAAGGTAATCATGTTATACTTATACACGACTCTATTCTAGGACTGTAAAGACCATAACTGTAATAACTCTGTGAGGGACTTATGTATTAAAAATCGTATTACTGATGACTAACTAGCTTTTTATCGCTTATCTTCTATTATTTCATTAGTTAGTCGTAAAATAACTGTTCTGTTGTTGGTTGGTTTTTTTTTGTGTTCAATCATATTGCACTAGTCATTGTTGTATTTATCGATGCTGTCAATTGATTATTGTTTCTGCGTTTACCACCTTGAATGAAAGTTTTAACACAACCATTTATTATTTATACATATTCATTTATCAATATTCTGACAAACCAAAACAGTCTGCTGACTTTAATCGACTTCATGTGAATTGTTCTGATAATTTTAACATACTAAGTTCAACAAACTGAAAAAAACATCCACTTAGGAAGCTTATTTCATGACAAAAAGGGCGGCAAATTCGTTTCATTTTGCTATAAATTTACATTGCATAAGGTTTAAAAACAGATAACATTATTAGTCAGTATGAAATAAATGTTTACAAATTAAACAATAAGTCTTATTATTTCTAATTAAAAGTAAATATATAGTCGAAATAATTACATGTCATTTAACAAAAATTAATTAAAAGTTACATATCATAGTAAAGTCTCAAATTTTAGGAGAGAATAGTTATCCTATTGTTATGTAATCTCACTACAATGGAAGTCATGTGTATTAATTCCTTCTAGAGTACAATTTTAAACCTAACATTCATTAGTTTAGCAATCAAATATTTACTAAGTTAAACTGAATAGTAGCTTAAATGAAAAATTAAAAGCTTTTTGGAGTTGATTAATTAGTACTTCTTGCAGACAAACCACAGAATATCATTTCGATGAGATATCTTGATGTTGAATGATTCACATCAATCAATTTCTGGATCACGAATTAATGCTACCATTATTACGATAAATAGCAAAATATAACAATGAATCCTTATTTTTTAATACATCGAATGTTTGGATTAGGTCTAAAATATATTGTCAGAAGGGGTTTTGTGGAGATTGTAGTAATTTCAATGATTAAGATCCTGGGTTCGAATCTCGTAAGGGGCGAGGTCGTGGATGCGCACTGCTGAGAAGTCCCATAATAGGACGAAACGGCCGTCCAGTGCTTCCAGGTTTTCCATGGTGGTCTAGCTTCAACTGACTCATGATCATAATAATCTAAAATATATGTTTTGTAATCGTAGAGTGTGGCGCGTACTACTTACATTGACAGATTTAAGCAGTATGTGGTAACAATCGGAAGTGGAATGTTCGTCAGAACAACACTCAATTAAAGAGAAAGGAATGCGAAACTGAGTGCAATTGTAATCACAACGGAATTAAAAGAATCAAGAAGTATGTAGACAATATATGAAGGAAGATGTGCAAATAATGTATTTAAAGTAGGACTTTCATATTTTATAAAGGCACTGTAATTTCGCATGTAACAAAAGATTAGTTTACCGTACCTGAGTTCTCGTTCACTACAGTACAAATGATGTGAACTTAAATGTTAATAATAATAATAATAAAACCTACACTCCTAGAAACTGTAATTTGCCTTAAAATGTGTGTTTCCGTAAAAAAAAAATTGATCAGAAATGTGATATAATAGAAATTATGGTAATCTAAGCGATATGATTGTACAATAAAACAGTGATTGCATACAATTTAGAAAAAAAGCCAAATTCATTAAGCCCAGAGTTATCAATAGTACATAAATTGACAGTCAATACTGAGGCATCATAAGCGTGGCATGAGTAAGTTATAATATATTTTTCAGTATGAAAAAATACTACAAATTTACCACAGAAGATACATGTAATGAACCAAGTAACTTTCTAGCAAGTTTGGACATATTAGATTAGGTTCATTTTACATCTCAACAATAAAATATATTGCATAAATACATAAATTCATTGATATAGAAGGGGAAAAATTAATGGACAATCACGAATTATCGTTTGTGTTTTCATTTACAGTAAGAAAAGAACAATAAAAATTCTTTCATATAATCAAAAATAAAAACAGACTTTAAGGCGTATTCTTTTCATTATGCATTAATTATTACTACAGGACACAGAAAAAGCTCAGTAATAAAGCTTGGGAAATATGGTGACTTTTTGTTATCATTGTAGTATGCCCATAACGAAAAACCAGAACAGAAAATATCACAATGAAGATATGAATAATGAGTGAAAATTAGTAGTAATAATAACTACTATTGTAAATAATAATATTAAGAATAAGTAGATATTTTAACCAATAATTCCGGAAAGATTAACTTGTTACTAAGAAAGAAGGAAAGAACAGAGAGAAATTATGTATTATGATCCATGTCCATATTTTACAAACTAAACTTATTCTTTAGTTGAACTCTTACGTTTAGTCACAACCGGTGGCTAAACCAAATGCATCAGAAATAAAATCACCTAAATCGTTGTGGTTTTCTGCACACCTACGTGAATTTACTCTTATATTTGGTCAGATGATGAAATCAGAATTCAAGAAACTAATGAGTCATTTTTATGACCTATATGTGTACGTTTTTATAGGTATGAGTTATTTTTGAGCATGTTTGTTTATTGTTTACCTTATTTATTTTCTATTTAAATAAAATACAAGCTTATTTAAAGACTCGTATTGTGAGCTCCGGGTGTACCAACTTCCATGTTTCACCTATTCAATTTACACTTATGATCTTATCTTCTCATATTTGAATGCTTGAAGTGACATCTTCCAGTTACATTTTGTACATGGCCTTTTACTATCATCATTGTATAAATGGAATTAGCTAGAGCAGCTATATATATAATAAAAACATAGTCATAAGATAAACCAATTGACTAGTTTTAACCTTTCTCCAAAAAGATGATCGACATGCTTTATTCAGTCATTTTCGGTATTATTACTTGTCACTATAAACATACGTATTGTATACTGTTTTTGGAATATGAGGACGCTTCAGGTCATGAACTTTTTTTAATAAGTATAGAATCTATTTTCTGCTAATGAGTCGACTAAACTAAATAAACCGTATTCAATAGTCACTGATCCGTTTACAGGTTTCTGTACTCGGGTAACATAGTTAGTTTTCGATTATTTGGAAGCTACTAATAGTGCTCGGATATACAAAGTGAAAAAGATGGAGGTAAGAAGACTTAAATCTGCAACTTTTATGGTGGTTTGGACAAACGGGATCCGTTCAGCTAGATAAACTCCAAATGTAATGATTGTCTTTTATACTCATTTATACTACTAAAACCTACACGTCACATACGCAGGTTAAATTTGCAGTTAGTTCCATAAACAAAGCGATATGTTCAACTAACTGTTGTTCCCAGAAAGTCATACTCCCCTCGACTCTTCAGAAGTGGGAAAAAAAATTGAAAACAAACAATATGAATTCCAATAACCCGAAAAACAAAGATAAATTAGAACAAACAGAATCTATATAGAATTTACAAAGGAATATTATGTCTTCGCGACTCAGCTGTTAGTGTTGACTGGTCAAAAAATAAACCAATCAGCAAATTCTGACTTTAGACTCTCTGGAGCATGGAATAGTCAGAAACCTATCCTACTATCAGAGGTTGAGTTTTAAAGGATTTTTTCGATTTCACTAATTAGCGAAGTAAGAAAACAAAAGCCGATAAACAATAGGGGAGAAATGAATAGTGTCAGATATTATTCTGATATAGACATTTCAACAGTTACATATTTTTCTACTGCATAATTTAATATGTAGACGAGAAAAAGCTGCTAAGGAGAGCCTAAGTTATTTTGCCTTTGCCAACACAGTGAGTTCTTTTGTGAATGAAATATCGAGAAAACTTTCTTTGATTCATATTTCCACGCACTGACGTATTGTTGTCATTTGACTAGCCTTTTCCACTTTTAGCTTCTTAATTTTACTATACGCTCCAAGATTATACTTTTGTTACATAGAAAGAGTCGTTCAACCCAAAATTTGTCTTCTTGAATTTCAAGCTTTCTATAAAGTCCAGTCTACTTTTGCCTTTCGTTGCCCTTGAGATAATTGTTGAAATGTAGAGTGCCAGTTATCCGGTCAACTGAATTTGTATTAGATCCCATTGTATAAGAAACATCTAGATCGTTAATACTTAGGAATCATCACAGACAAATCATGAAGCACCGAAAACAAACTGAAATTTCTAATAATGTAGTGTTCGTAGGAAAAAAGACAGTTTGAAAGTTGTCTAGTACACTCAATTATTTCAAAGTTATTGAGATATACAATATTAGACAAAGCATTTCTAATAAACATATATAATTATGTTAAGATAAATGAACAATAAATCAATTGACTTGTTATGAAAAAAGCATTGGATAAGAAAAATACAACTGAAATATATTAAATTTCTAACATGAAACAAATAGAAAATACACAGCCGCTTTGTTTATTTTATTTATTATATATAGGGAAAGATACTACTAAGTAGATACAATCCAAAAGGTTAAGGCAAAGAAAGAAACAGAAAAGGCGACGCAAAGTTACTTATTTTGTAAGTGGTTTCAGGGCTTTCAGAAATCTATGTGAACTATGATTAATGAAGTTTGAAGATAGGGTCATAAACCTATAATGAATATAAGGGAACGCTTATATTTTAAAATTTGTATAACTTTTGATCTCCCTTATTGACTGTGTTGTACTTTGTGTTAGCGCACTTTTGTTATGGTCTAATCTAATTCTCAATCAAATGGCCGGATAAGTGAGTAGGGAATCGCGCTATTAAGTATCTAGTGCTGGTACGTTGCTATAGCACAATGACTCTTATTCGTAAATCAGTATTTCGAAATATTTCATTCTTACAATGAATTCCATACGTTATTTTGTGATGCCGATGTGATAAATGAATTCATAAGGAATGAAGAACATATCGGTGTACGCAACAAATATAATTTCTAGGTATTTGATAAACAAAATTAGGTTGAATATTATTTCGCAATAAATCAATGTATGATCTAAGTATTACGTAGTCAGAGAATAATATTAATAAACTTATTGTGAATTAGTGAAAATTTTATATCTTGTTTCGCGTGACAACCTTGCGTAATACATCGTTTCAAAACATTTTCATAAAAACATGTTTTATTAGTTCATCATTGATGTTGCAATAGTTATGAAATTTTTTCTATGAAACAATTCAGTGAAATTTACACGAGTATTATATCTTGAGTTTCTAAATGCTAGTCTTGATCGTAATCCAACTTTGACAAGGAACTTCTATGACTGTAAACATGCTATTGGCTATTTCCTGCTATTATTTGTGTTCTATATCATTACCAGTATTTATAGATTTATATTGTTTCGCGTATTGTTTTTCTCTTTCAATGAACTAAATGAGACTAACAAAAATACTGCTTATTTCCAGTCTAGTTACCGCATACAAGGAGAGAGAGGTAGTAACGCCCATTCATCTTTGCTTACTCATTATGCTGTATATCTGAAATACAGTGTGACAATAAACATATGAGTAACTATAATATGAAAAGCTTTAAAGTGAGCATACTAAGCAAGTTAAAGAAAGAAGCGATGGGAAACAGTATATATTTTGTATATTCAAAATAAATACGGAAATGGTTATATATTATGTAGAAAAATTGATTAGGATTATTGTTATAATTACCAGTTGAGATAAGATAATACTAATTTTAAGAAGTTATTGACTGTATTCACTAATTAAAAATGGTCAACACAAATGAATTTCAGTCTAGAAAAAAACTTGCACATTTATAGCTAGTGTCTGAATACACGAGAAGACAGTCAATATTATACGGAATTCATACGATGAACTACAATGCTGCTCATTCTCCCCCTCCCCCTTTCTTCTAGATTATGAAGACCTCGACATCTGAGGAGAAGCACGGAATACAATGGACAGTTCAGAATCAACTGGACGACTTGAACTTCGCAGATGACCTGGACGTTCTATCCCCTACACATCAACAAATACAAATGAAGAGAACCAGTGTAGCAGCCTCTAAATACGCAAGTGTACAAGCGAAATCCCAAACGCAACACGGAGAACATCAACTCAATCATACTTGATGGATAAACTTTGGAATAGGTGGAAACCCTCATGTACCTGATCAGCGGCATCAATGAATAAAGATCTCATGCAGATATTAAGGCGAGGATTAGCAAAGTAAGGCCGCATTCCTACAGTTGAACATATGGAACTTAAAACAATTATCAACCAATATCAAGGTGAGAATCTTCAATACGAACATCAAGACAGTCCTATTGTACACAACTGAAAATTGGAGAACTACCACAACTATCATCAAAAAAAGTGAAAGTATTTATAAACAATTATCTACACAAGATACTCAGCCTCCGTTGGTCGGATACCATCAACAACAACCTACTGTGGGAAAGAACAAAGCAGCTTCCATCTGAAGAGTTAATTAGGAAAAGACGTTGGAAGTGGATAGAACATATATTGAGGAAATTAATAAAGTACATCACGAGGCAATCGCCACCTTGGAATTTTGAAGGGAAACGGAAAAGAAAAAGGCCACGGACCACACTGCATTTGGAAGTAGGCATCAAAAAGACGAGTAACAATTGGAAAAAACTGTGTAGGATAGCCGAGGACAGAGTTGGATGGAGAATGCTGGTGAGTGGCCTATGCTCTTCCACGAGGGGTAACAGACGTAAGTAGGTAAGTGTGTATATACAAACACTTTTGAATATGTAAACACACAACTTAATGATATTTAAGTGAAAGACACTAAAATAGATCGAGTATTAAACTTGTTCTTGAACTGACATATGTTCCTATCCTATTGCAATATCATAGACAAAATAATTTCACAAGTGGAAATAAACCATTTTTAGACAATATGACTAGTTCATACGGATAATTTCATTGATTTAAACATCAGATCAAAACAAATAACGATTTTAGATACATTACAATTATTATATGAAGTCAAATTTGTGAACGTAGAAAACATATTAAGAGATTGTTTCTGTTTTTATAAATGAGCGCAAAAAACTTACTGAGGAAGAAGTGGAGCTGGAAGCTGACCAGGGGCTGTAGTTACAATTGTTGGGGGATTCAATGTATGACGTATAGGTAAATTTGGTGCCGGTCTTGAAGGTATGGGACGATTAGGATTTGATGTGATATTATTAGGACTTAAAGGTCTTTGTGTTGTACTACTACTGTAATGACCGGAATGAGATGAATTACCAGAAGGAAGAGGTCGACGAATATTATTTGATCCAGTAGATAACTCCTGAAATTTAGGAAAAAGTTACAATGGGTTTTTCAGAAAATTGCAATAAATGATAGGCTTATTAATAGACTGTTAGTAACCTATGGGTATTTACAGCCGCACCATACTTCATGCAATTATTATTTAAAAAAGACATAATCCCGTAAGTGTGTATTTTCAATACTACAAGATGATATTGAAGGTATAAAATGCGGTAACCATAGGTTGAATCTAACCAACACACGAATTCCAGCGTACATAACGAATTATTCCGATAACGATAAATTAATTACTGCTGCTAAATATCTAGATAGACCAGATAGAAGTGTTATCAATAACTTACTTTATGATAATTAATTACTCGATGAAAGATTATTCAGAAATACTTAGTTATTTTCATAACCTTTTTTCAAGCCTTATAATATGTCAAATGTTCTAGGTATTTCAACTTTGAAAATGAGATTTTTTTTCTATATTTGTGAATTCAACCAAATCTCATGACTGATTTGTTTTATCACTCACTATGTACGGAGCAAATCTAACATACACCAATCTTACAAGTCTTAAAACCATTTGAAGTAAATTACATGATTGATACAATAAGAGTAAAACACAACATTTGGTAAATTATAAAATATCTATGATCAAAGTTTCAGCCTATCAAGTTGTTATATTTTAATATTTTAGGTTCAGGCTACAGTAATTGCCGAATGAAGGACGATTGTCGCGTGAAGCGATGACAGAAACTAGCACATAACTCTTTGGCGATAACATAGAAGGAACATGAGTTCGGAGCGGGGCGAAAAGAGCGAACTACAATAGTAGTACTCCGTATATATCGTAACTAAAGCATGACCTTCCACTATACAGAAATTTAGCGGACTATAAGAGATGGAAATCGTTCAGAAAAAGGTAAAGATAAAGCAGAAAACTTATTAGAAAAAAGGCACTTGGGGTAATTTCTGGTAAAATTTCGGTCTAGTTAGCGAAATTTCGGTTATCTTGAAATTGCCTTAGCATAACTACTACTCAATTAAGGTAGGATGAAGCACTAAAATAATTTTGAGGAATAACAAAGCCATTTACTAAGTGTGTTATTATACATTTAAATCTATAACCCGGAAAAAATATTTGTACGCGACTAACTGGTTGGTTAAATTATGAATAGGAGAGAAAAATAATTGGATGAAAAATATTCAACTATCGAGTGAAAGGATTGTGTGTGCTCATGTTAGTTATTATTATTTATTTGAACACATAAATATTGGTACAAGGAGGCACCAAATATATATGCGCCACACTTTTGTGTGTAGGCTGAGATACTGCCCGGGTACCCAAACCGAAGCAGGTGGTTTTCTTAGGGGGCCACACCCGAGCCTTCGACCTAAAGGTCTAACCCACAAGGCAGTGGAGCATCGTGAGGAGATGCAGTCCCATGGAAGCCGGTGACCAAGAAATTGGTTCATACGCCATTTGTTCCTTCAAGATACTGGAGCCCATGTGCACCATTGATTTGGGATCCGGTTACAGCGCCGGACGTTCGCTTTTCGTCCTCTCATTTTCGTAAACAACACCACCACCACAAGAAGGCAGTGAGTAGGACTTCCCTGACAGAGGCTATATACGCGTGGCCGTGTGAGAGTATTTCGAGAGGGAGGGCGAACCCACCCCACTCTTGGCCATACCAGGGCATTTGGGGGCTCATGTTAGAGCTAAAGTAGTATCAGAAATAATGTGCAAATATATTGAATCTCAACAGCTGGATTCAAAAGACGATTATCATAGTGATTAAAACGACTTTTAAGATATATTTTTTATCAATGGTTTTAAATTATAAATTAATATGATAATATTTGTCAGACGAAGCTTACCGTCTCAATCCAGTCATCACTGACAGGTGGGGGCAATGGGACACTATGCGTATTAGCTATGACATCTGATATAACTGATAATGCTTCACGTATTGAATCATACATACGTATAATTTCTTCACGATGCTTTTTCTCAGCTGATGACTCTTCCATAAGATTGTTCTACAACGATGATGGAATTTTAAAGCAAACAGAAAATAAAACAAAAAGAAAATGGGTCGATTAAATTTAGTGCGTGAAATGTGTTCACATGAAAATCTTATACACTTTCCGAACAATAAATGTTTCAATAGCTTAGAGATCTTTTTCAAATTCATTCATGAGAAACGCTTTACAATTAACAATAATTAGTTCGGTTAATGTTGAGAATGAAAAAAAGAAACAAGAACGTTTAACTTCAAACTAGCACAATGCAATTATAATTCATTAGTCATTACTGATCTCGACTCATCCTTTTGTAAGTAGACACATTATCTATGGTGTGCACCAGTGGTCAAAGAAGAACCAACGCTGACCTCTATTAACTAACAAAACGACGCTAAGATGATAAAATTTGTTAAAGAACACTGAATAACATACTACCGTACGATATAATAAGTCACATTCCATAGTAATAGAGAGAGACAATTCGTAATTACCCTAATTATACGATAACCACTTGAAGATTCAAAGCTTTCTGAATTTCATTTTAATTACGTTGTTATAACTTATGGCCTGTGCCCTATTAATGTATAACGTAATGATACCGCCAATTAAAGAACAGTGACTTAGTGACCGGACTAATGTTGCATAAACCTATACGAGCAGTCTAGAGTCCTTATCGGTCCTGCTTCCTACCTAGCCCTGCCTGTTGAGACCAGAACACAAATTTCAGTCTCCACAATATGAATCATGTATTTCAAACATACTGGGCTTATATACAAGCCAAACAGACCACATCACACCATAAAATAGGAAATAACATTTCTACAAGATCTAGCCAAAAGTGGCTGTGATTGTAGGATACTGTAAGTAATGGCAAATCGTATAATAATAGTCCATAGGTCAAAATTGTCATTGATTCTCATCGGGAAAACATAACTCAAGATTCCATGAACCTCAGTATCGTACAAAAGTTTAGACTACAACAAACTTCCCAATTATAAAAATCGCTGTTCAATTGTCGGTAATCAGGGAAACATTGGTTTACCTAATGTTAATTTGATTACTCAGAATATGACTTGCTATCGAAACTTCAAAAAAGAAAACTGTTTCTTTTGACAAGCAAAAAACAAAACCCAAGTATCAGTATGGAATTGTGGAGATTGTTTAATTTGAATTGAGATCATATTACGACTCGATGTATAGAAAAAACAATTATCTATTTATATAATTTACTGCCACAAAAGATGTTTTTCTCTGATTTTGTATCAGTCACACTTTGTAAATTGTCGTTTAGTAAAAAGACGATTAACAGCAATATAAGTCAGACTTGAAAAGTAAGAATAAACCAAAGACAACTGTGAACATTTTCTTTATTATTTGTTTCTTCAATTTTGATCAATTATCCAAATAGTACTAGAATAAAAACTACTACTAACTAGTTAAAACAAAATTGATTAAAAAAGAGACAAAAGAAAGTAAATAGACAAACTTACAGGGTCTTGTGAATACAATTTGGGCAAGAGATCGCCTTTTAGAAAAATCTTGATCTATATTTGAGAATAATTTAGAAAGTAAAAATATTGACCACGTCATCAAGATTGAAGTGAATTGTCAAAAAAACCATATTTAGTAACATATTGTTCATAGTAGTATAGGCAATTATGCGTGAAAAAATTCAGGCCCTAGTGCATTGATCACAAGTACTGTAGAACTGAATAAACTTTGCATTCGAAAGGAGTGATTAGTAGAAGATTCAACTGATAAATACAACTCTGTCAGTGAAAGACAGAAAATACTAATTAGATGTCCGTGCATAATACATTTGTTCCGCATCAACTCAAAAGAGAAAACAGGAGTGAATGAATGATTTGTAGGGATGAATAAAACGCCGATCAGCTAGCGTGATAAAATGATACAATGTGGCCGAGTGATAAGTCTTCATCAAACTAATTTATTGATGCAGGTCTCTCAATGGACGGATTTCAAAGAAAAGATAATTAGTCAAAAGAACAGGATTTCTATCCAACACCATAACATAAAATATATACATATATTGTCAGTATGGGGTTGTCGAGTTCTTTTGAAAAGCCGTGGCTAGTGGAGCTAAACCGTGTCCGGTGTGTGGCAGTTACCCACCAGAGACAATAAAAGATGGTGGCATAATGTCACAGATTAACTAAAGTTTGGCATTAACACCGTTGGATGCTGAATTAATTGTCTAAAAGTTAAGAGTTCACACGCGAGATAGAAAGTCTTCAGTTCAATTTTCGTGTGTGGGTTCGTGAATGCGCACTGCTAAGGAGTGCCATACTTGGACGTAACGGCTATCCAGTGCTTCCAGGTTTTAAATAATAGACCATTCGCTTACCAACAATGATCTAAATGTTAGACTTGATTCTGATACACTGTATCATTTACAACATGTCATTCGTCAAGGAAAAAATGTTAGTAAAAGAATGTTTATTGAAGTATTCATATGACGTATTAAATAAGTATCACAGTTGGGAGGCTGTTTAAATGAGTGTTATTTATCATACAGAATCAAATGTAGTTATTGTAATATTAGATAAAAGTATGGGATAATCAGTGTGTCCATAACTTTATTGTTTATAAATATTATAATCAATCCAACCCAGTAGCCAAATCGAGGTTCGTGTGCTCCAATTTGCATGTGGGGGGATAAAGGCAATAATTGGGTGTCAAAGGTAGAGTGGGATCTAAATCAGTAATTCCGTAGTTGAAAGTCGAGCAAGCAAAGGCGCTTACAGAACTATATGGTGACGTAAACTTTCTAATCTATCAATTGATCAACGAAATGAATACGCCTATTCAACTCGCACTTAGACAAGAGAAAATAAGGAGTCGTAAAGGAGAAATAAGAGAGACAGCAAGCATTTAAGTGTAGATGATAATAATAGCGGGATTTTTATTCTACATTCAAAGTAAAATTTTGGAGATTAAAATTATACATAAAATTACCTCATTAATTAATTGATGCATAATTATTTTCGGGACCATGTCACGTTGTGTTTTAGTAACGATTTTCATGTAGGAGTCGACTAAATTACGTATAATTTCTACTTGTCTTTCAAGTTTAGGATCAGTTGGTATTTTATTTGTATCACCATCATCAGTCTGTGGCACAAAAAGAATATTTAAAAATAAACACATAAGATTCACAACAGTTTTATTATTATTATGCAATAGGAACGTTGACCCACTGAGTTTATTGAACAAATGTATACAGATTTAGTTAAGTAGAAAACCATCAACATGGAAAAGAACAAAAAAATAACTTTACCATTTAACTCATTCTAACTATACATTCTATATGAATTACTTTAGGAGTGAATTTTTGAGAACCTGAAATAATTAGTCACAATGTATTTGTGTAACATAATTGCTACCATCAATTGTACGTTGCACAGACAGTTACATTTCCTCCGATACTGCCTTAGAAATATATTTCCATCTATTATTGAAGTTGTACAGATATCAGTTGCTTGATTAATGATGTACCTAGTAAACTATCCTTTCAGTTTTATGTTATCTCTGGTTATTGGCATTTCTTATCCTGGTTGCATCATTAACTTCTTCATCGTAAGAACGTTTACAGGACTGTTGATTAGTTTAAATAAAATAGATCAAAAACAGTCGGCCATAAAACAATCAAGCATATACATGACGACAGATCTATCATAGTAATATATGTTCGTATTCCATGCTTTCGGTTTTCTTTGTCTTCTCTCTAGCTATATTTAACAATATTTGATTAGGTGCATAATCTGAACGACTAAAGATCCTTAACATTATTAAGAAGTATCACCATTCAAAGTTGAGGTTAGACAACTTCACATGTTTTATGTAGTTTGTGTGGAAAATTAGGGCAGTAGTACCAACTATTATTACCTAATGAGTACTGTTTGAATATATATATATATATATATATATATATATATATATATATATATATATATATATATATATATATTAAGGCATTGTCTAGAACGTCATAACAGTGCATAAATGAAACTTTTCTAGAAATAAAACCAGAAATTTTTGTAACCAGTATATTGTAGGATGAAACTTTGAAAAAACAAACTGATAACCACGAAATAACTCGATAGTAATATTTTTCAGCATGAGACCAAGTAGTATTGGATTCTTAACCGATTGTGAATGATGAAGCAGGCAGTTCACGGTTTTGGAAAGTTGCATAAGTACACTAATGATGATGTAAAGAATAATTACAGTTCCATTTTCATAATTTCCAAAGATCAAATATCACTTGAATTATAATTGAAAAACACAAGTTACTTCGGAGATGTTCGGTCATCATCCAATGAGTTATGTATAAGATACATTACCAAGTCTATACAACATGGAACCCAAGACTCTGTCCCAATTTCCTGTGATCACAATAGCTATAGGATTCATTGTCTTAGACAACATTCACTTTATCGAAATTAATAGAATCAGTACTTTATACTTTGCTATCCTCTCAATAGTCATTTGATAGAAATTAAAATACAGTTTTTATAATTATAATAACAAAGCACATATCACGTACACACACATATAGGAACATAAAAAGTAATCACGAGGTCTATGTTATGCTTAGTTCGTGTACATTCAACCATGCAATATACATATAAATCATATGACTTGAGATTAAGGGCTATGAGAATAAAGTTTTTCTAACAAAAATTTTAAAATTAAAGAGTACAATATGATACCATGGTACTACTTGATCATATAACATGACGCTTTAACTAAATCAATGAATGAAGTTAATTTACTAAAAATAGCTAAATAATAAGTAGTGAAGTTTACAAAAGAAAAGAAAACAAACAAACAGAATAAAATTAATTAATGTTAGGTGATTTATTAATAGAAGTATGAAATACCAGAAAAGACGAGATAAGTTCATTTCCTCCTTGTTCTTCTGCGTTCATTTCTGATCAATAGTCGACTAGATTCAAAATTGTATTGTATGATAACGTAAAAAATCTATTGTATACTTAATCAGTAAAGATAATAAGAGTTTCGTAAAGAGATTGTTCATTTGCAATGATGTGATCTACTACAGTTGTACAACCGTATTTACAGTTATTTTTTAAAATAATAGTCTGTAATAAGACAGTTATTGATACGGTTACCAAAAGCTAATTGCAAATGCTTTCAAGTATTCAATGAAAGTTACATAATAATTGCGAATAACATTTATATGTGAGATATGAAAGATAATTGTTCACTTGATCAATATAAAGGAGAAAAGAGCATATATCAAAACAACTTACAAAATTATAGAAGTAATGAACTGATAGAAAAATAATCAATTTAATATATCACTTATGAAAACAGAGACTAAGGGACAAACCGAAGAATCGCTAAAGTCTTAAGTATACATAGTTTCCTTTTGAGTAAGTTTGAATGTAAGTAAAATCAAGTCATCCATTCTAACAACTTAAGTTCTTTGTGTGAATATCAACCAGGGAACATTTTACACATGTCTGTTGAACGACATATACACAAACATACCAAAACAATTTCCAAAGGATCAAAATAAACGGTAGAACACAAAATAGGACATAAAAATATATAATCCTTGATCACTTACCTGTTCGTCTGGTTTTCCAGATGGATCATGAAACACTCCAGCACGAACTAAAGCAGCTTTCCAAGCTTCAACCGCTTCTTCTGTATCTGCAGATAAATCTAAAGTTTTGTGATCTTTGTACAGATTAACTTTAGGATCCGGATGATAAAGAACAAAGGTTGGTCGTTTTGAAAAGAATCCTGTATCACCGCTACGTTGTTTTAATCCATCTAAAGGAAGAACAAATCGTCTCTCACGTTCCTAGTAGAAAAAAAAGCGAATTCCATAACATTTTCATAGGGGATTTTGAACAATAATTCTGTGATAAACTTTATACTACAACTTTATTATTTGATGGAAGGTATACAGATTAGATATAAAAAACAGTATTTTACATTTTAAAATCTGTCATTCGTATATCACCGTTAAAGGCTACACGGAAAGAATGAAAATATGTGTGTTCAAAGAACTAGTTTCAAAATACTATATCAAAATTCAGATTATTAATAATGATAACATTATCCTCTCTTAGCTATTTCATATAACATTATTCTATTTAGCGAAAACACAGCTTTCTACGTTTCTTAAAGAGCCAAGTAAGAAAAGTGTGCTTCGGCATATTAATCTCCTTCCTTATGTCTCCCTTATAAAGAAAGGTTCCTTTTTCCCTTTATTGATTCTCAATGGAGGACTGATAAAAGAAAGAATATTAGGCAGTGAGAACTACCAGATAGATCGAGTTGTCTTTCATTCAGACTCCCCAACACTGAGAGAAGGCAAGACTAGAAAAGAAGACTAAAGCCATACGGTGAACATTTTACTTTCGAACATATCGACGTACTTCAATAGCTTATTTTTAAAATATGTCATTGTTATCCTTTAATTCTTAGACTCAGATGTTACATTTGGTCATTAGGAATTAAGAAAATACATCTTTAAAAAAGTTTCTTATCTGTAGTGAACTATTGTTCAAGCCATTAAGTTTTATTGGTGTTTTTCTTATTTCCTTTTAGTTACGCACAACCTTACCATTCATGCATTCTGAGAATATTGTACTTTTCTCTATAGATTCAACCAAGCGTAAACTTAAACCAATATAGAAATAAATCTGTTATCTACTCAGAATTGAACACATTTTGAAGTTTGTGGTGGGATGTACTTAACAACATAAATACCACGAAGTGTGTGTTATCAAGTTAAACCATTGAATAACAAGCCAACGATACGTTTGGATCTGAGTCGCAAAACTGAAGATTAATGTGAGATTTCAACAAGTGCATTTTATTTTTAATATATTTACCATTTACGTAGTAGGTAATCAGTTACGCTCGAAAATATGATATCTCAAAATAGAAACATTTCAATTAATAATACAACCTGACCCACTCAGTATAATTAGTAGGAATAAGTATAAGTTAAGTGATATCAGCTCAAATTAAGCAATACATTATTTTATCTATCGAAGTAAAAATGCGAAATACAACACACTCATTATTTTATGAGGTGTTTTTAAGGACTCATGATAGAACACTGCATATATTTATGATATTCAATAAAAATGATTGTACTATAAAAAATACATAGTAGATTTCTAATCTGAGATAATAAATCCCAACAACTTAAATGTATTAGTGTTTGAGAAATATACCAGAAACAATAATGTATTTATAAGACCAATTTTAAGTTACATGATAGTTGTTTCTTTATATTTCAATAAACTAAAATCATAAAAAATGGTCACATATGAATAGTTGTCATGCTACATCACGAATTGATTGCAGTTAGATTTGCATTTAAAGACGCCGAAATAGTGGTTTGAATGGTTAAGTGTTCAATGCGAAACCTGAAGTTTCTGTAGTTGATCCCTCGTATGGTTGCAGGTGAGTATTGCCGAAGACGCGCATACTACGATAAAAGAGCTATTTGCTTATCCCTAGTAACCCAGCTGGAAACAATCTGTGACAAATACAATCTACAAATTTAGCAGAATTATTTAAACTCATATCAGCTGAAGAACTATTAAAAATCAGGAATAATCGGAGAACAACTTTGGGAAAAAAATTCAGTTTTTTAGTGTCACTAGATAATCGATTAATAATTGGGAATTATATTAGATCAGGTCACTTGGTTATCATCATTTTTTCTTATCAAAAAACTGAAAAACATTTTATTTAATCCAATCAAGTACAAGGTTAACACATTTTACAAGTGCCTAGATATGTGACAATGAATTAATATCTACAGTAAATTTTCTCTTAAAAATTCAACAAAAGAAAGCACAAAACACACTAAGATGGTAGACAAATAAGGTGCATTATTTATTTACTAACTAGGCACCAATTAACCATGAACACACACATACTGAATAGATAGTATCCTACTAGAATATCAAAATGAGTATGTGAATAAATTTTTGTTGAGAAAACAAACAACGTTTGACCTTGTTCATCATATGTTTTAATCTTATTTAAACAATCGATTGACGAGAAATTCAGTATGAAAAAACAAAAGTATGTTAGATCTAAGATGAGATCATAAACTAAATATTGTGCTTAATAAAAAAAACAAAAAAAGAAAGAAGTTAATGATAGATGTGGATGAAAAGAGAACATAACACTGATAATAATAGTAATAATAATAATAATAGATTAGTGTGTTAACACAAAATGGAATTTCGATGCAGTATACTTTCTCAAACTAGACGCATATTTTTGTTAATGTACTTATGAAAAACAAATTTAATTAACAGAAAAAAGACACAACTATCAATAAATAAAACAACGGAGACTTAATTGTCTCTCTATTTTCTTTTCTTTCAAGGAATTCAAGTATTTAAAAGTATAATTTAATAAGATATATGAAAGTCAGAAGAGTTTGCAATCACAAAGATGATTAAGACATTATGATATTATATTGATTGTCAACATTAGATTACGAGTACAGTTTGTAAATATTAATCTGTAGATTTTTAGTTAATTCACTTGGACGATCATATACAGAGTAAAAGAATCTGGTATATATATAGTCAATGGGATTTGATAAGACTAGATTTCATGTTTACTGTAAAATATTTTTTATATGAATCAATAATTTAACGAAAATATACGTTTTTAACAGTCGGTAATTTTAGATTTTGCTATTCAATTATTTGGAGGGGATTTTATATCAGTAATTTGGCCAACAAGATTACGATTCATTAGAATACTTTTCACATCGATTGAGACACTCGAATGAAAATATATCACTTTTAATGTCATGTCACAACCATTTATATATATATATATATATATATATATATATATATATATATATATATATATATGTTAAAATTGATAGCATATTGGTAAAAATTTCGCGAATTTTATTTAAAAGTTTTACATTTTATTACTGAACCCATGGATAATACTGACTTAATAATCTCAGCTCTCACTAATAGAAAAGCAATTAATGTGACGTAGAACATTTGCTCTCGTGAAATGATTGAAACAGCAACGTTTCCTTATTATCGAATGGATAAATAATGACCAGCAGTGTAATCTCGTACGTGCATTTCATCCTATTTTACACTCATCAATTGGATGCAAGTGCATTTGAGTGGTGATATTCAAATCGAGATTAAAAGACAGTGTTTAGCTTTCATTTCAAACATTGACACATAATCCACTGAATCCAGATTAGTAAGGGTTTAAATTAGTCTGTTGTTGATATTCGGAAGTGAATTTCAACTGGTTTTCTCGGTACATATGTACCCTGTATAGATTGTCGTGATATAGCCATTTTATTGAGATTTCCCACAATAATGTCTCATTTCAAATGTTTTTGGTTGGCTATAAAGTCGTGAGAATTCACATTCATGAGATATACCCAAACTAATAACTAATACTATAGCTATAAGCCATAATTAACCTACATAATCACAGCTTTATAGAATTTCATAAGTTTTCTGAAATACATGAATGATAAAGAGAAAGTTCATGATCGATTTCTTTTTTTAGGAATCCATTTTAAGTTAGACAATATTTCACAAAACAGTCAAACTGCTGCTCGTGACAACATCCATGGTCATTCAAGTCTACGTCTTCATAATAATAAAATTACTATTTAAAAATAATAACTGTCAATAACTGTGAAAATAATTTACTATCTGAGAAATATATGATCAACAATTAAAATATAAACGAACATTAGAAACAATTCCTAAAATATAGACATCTTGACTGACATAAAAACAAGTCAGGGAGAGAGGTAAAAAAATTTATTATCGGAATGACGATACGAATTGAAGCAGTCTTCGACGTATTCACACATTATTTGTTACCTAATGTCAGGAAATAGGATAGTAGAGTTTAGACATTTTATATTGTGAAACTCTTAATTTATGGATAATCTAATTTTCTGGGTATTATTATAAAAAAATCGGTTTTTGTTTTTAAACTGAACTATTTCAAATTTCAGACGGAAACCTATTTGATAAATATGTGATTAATACAAGATGAAACCTTCACGAATGTACCAAAATCAGATCATTAGTTTCAATCACAACTTATCAGTCAATAGTACATTAAAAGTGTTGACGACATTCTGCCCTAGTATACTTATTTCAATGACTACGAGTTTGAATATCTTTCTAATTGATTCATCTACTAGTTACTTTACTGATGATCAACAATCTTCATTCGAAAATTCTATATATGCAGGTCCTTGACCAATTGGTTGACTTTTTTTGTTAAGTTAACTTCATTCTGAGTAATTTCTATTACTAGGTCGTCCACTTATGGCAATATGATTGAAAGTATCGTAATGGATATAATATGGATCATCTTGAATGGATATTATTGATCAATTATAATGATCTCTCATTTTCAAGGATTCAGATATTCCGTTGTCAATGTTAAGGACCGAAATTAATCAGTTTCATTTTAGTATATGTATGTCCTTAGTGGATAGCCTCAGTATTCCCATTAAATGAATGGCATTTTTAAGCAAAGTATCATAATGGTTTGCAGTTAAATCAAGATGTACGTTACGTTCTATTCGAGACTCATCAGCTGAGTGTACAGGTACTGTAATACTAATGTTCTCGTACAAATTTAAACCCAGTGCCTTTTGTTTCAAACGCCCAATACATTGACCATGAAGCTACTGAGTATAGATGGCTTGTGGAACCAAGATGAATTTCATTTCTTCTGTAAGGGTTTGTATCATCCAGTTCTTGATGTAAAGTGTTGGGAAGACTTCCTCCTGAGGTTCTAAAAGAGCCCGACAGATTCCATCCAACCAGAACCTGATAGAACCTTCGAGAGTGTCAACGTGGCATGCTCTGATTGGACAATACCATAACTTGTCTTGCAGACTGGTTGAATTATAATGATATTTTAGCCAATACTAATAACAATAAATACCTATGTTTTCCCGTACAATTTTGATTCTTATCCAATAAGCACTTCCCATGCTTTTTCCGTCTTCTGATTTGCGATTGAGGGGTTCTACACGTTCGAGTGTCGTTAGTTGTATATCGTATTCTGCCGTAGAGTACGTAAAGGACCGGAATTAATTAGTAATGATTTATTTTTGATTTGTGAAGAAATACATAATTTAAAGACATTTCTCATCCGAAAAAAGTATGAGCTTGAAAGCTACAGAACTCGGAAGGACAACGGTCTCGGATCGCAGAATATAAAATACTTTAGTAAACAGCATCTATAGCTCAATGCGGATATGAAGACGGGACGTTTAGGTGTAGTACTCGTTCCGAAATTTACAGTTTGTGATGAAAATTACTTTCATAAATATACAAACTGAAATCTTCATCAAATCATTTAACATAATCAATCATTAAGTACCAAAAAATTGTGAAATAATCATCAAGGCAGAATAGAATGAAAACAATTAGTAACTTTTTTCAAATAGTTATTGGAAAGACAACCGCATGAAATGAAATAGCTTACGACGAAAAATACTAATCAACATATGCTATACTTATCAAAACAATTCTTTCCATTTTAAGTCAGGGTAGAAAAACTGGACCTCTCAATTTTCTAGTTTATCTTCAAATAAAAATAGTAACAGGATGTGTCAACCAGTCAAAAAATTAATACATGCTGAATGGATGTACATATTATGCAAATTTATGTACATATTTCTCAGCATAAATCACTGGTGAAAAAAACAAACAAATCTAAACACAATTATTCTGAAGTAAAACAACAGAAAAGTTAAGATAGAAAAATAAAACAACCAACATAAATAGAATTAAGTAAAAACAGAACGATCACCAATCATTTTCAAATTGATTTATGGTGGTTTAAATCTTCCCCTTGCTGATATTACGAACTATACACCTTTCTAAGCGGATTGGCTCGACATTGTCATTTAGTCACAAGTATTTAAGTTGGACAGTAAGTACATGGAATGAGACGCTCAGTGGATAATGCGTTAGGCGTTCGAAGTGAATGGTATTAGATTTTAGTCCTCATGAGAATGCTAAGGATGCGATACTGATAAGTCCCTAATAGGACAGGAGCTACATCCTAGGTTCGACTGCTACTCATTACTCATCTTTACTGAACTATTGGTGTTATATTTCTCTCTTACGTTATAACCCAGCTATTCCTATTGCTTAGTATTCTCGGATACCAATTCGCCCGACAAGTCCCCAAATCAGAACACGGTTGAACAGGAAAGAGATTGTATTCCAAATAACAAGGTTAGATGGAAGAAAGAAGCACAATAGGAATAGCTGGGTTATAACGTAAGAGAGAAATATAACAGTGATTAGAATTAGCCAATCAGAGTGCGCCAACGCAATTGTGCATTGAGCATGCTTAAATCCGATCTATGTCCCGCTAACAATTGGTAAATGTTAAATAAGTGAACAGCAGTAAAGAATGAACTAAAAATAGGGTGAGCAGATAAACGAAAAGGTAGAAAAACATCACTTACTTCATCATCTTTGTACCAAGTCAATGTATCTGTAGTTAATACGAACCAACAATAACGACTACCACCACGTAATAGACTTGGATTGATCAAATTAAGCCACCCTTTACAGATTACCTAAAACAAAATAAAAAATAACAAAAAGGATGGATAAGTAGCACATAGGCATGGTTCTATGAAATTAAATACAGTTGTACAGAATATAATATCGAAACAACGTCAAGAATACAATAACTTGTTCGAAATAAAATGAAATACCGGCTAAATATAGGGAAACGGACTGCTGCAAAATTGTAGAAGTAGAGGAATAAAACGTCATATAATCTAGAGGTATGTACACAATGATAGTATTTAATAAAAGATACAGTCAAGTTTTAAAAAAATACAGCCAAAAGGATTCGTCTTTCACAAAGAATGTAACAAGAAACTACATTTATTTTAAGCGATATCTGATATTGTCTCAGGCCACTCAACCAGGGAGTTGTGATAAGTGGACAGATTCCAGTCTCATATATCAATCCTTCATACTACGTTGTACACCATAAACTGACCAAGTTACTAAATTTTCCACGTTGTCATAGTATTGGGAAATGATATGTGGTGAGGAAACCGAGGGAATAAAATTCCTAAAACTTGATCAAACAAACGAAATTGGTATTTCAAGATGATTAACTCGATTATGGCTACTGTGCTAGAACACACTGCAGAACCTCGTCACTACCAATAGTCAGTTCAATAGGAATGAAAATGAATAAACTTATGTACTGAGGCCATTGCAATCTACCAGTTGAGCCTTATCTTTGCATACAAAAACAGTGTGTTCAGTCCCTCATTCTACTATAGTCTTAACTTCCGTTTTTATTTTCATTTTTATTATATTATTTATACTCTTTCCCAATTACATTCACAAGTATCAATTACTTTCTTAATAGCTTTCAAGTGGATAATTATCTTCATTTTACCACTTTTCACTGGCCGATTATTGCATAACTTCCTTCATTATCTGATTTTCAGGTCTTGATAACATACCGTTTCAAGTTCTTTTAATACTTAGCACTATTCTGTCTTACTATAGAACATTATTTTAGCAAATAAAATAAACTACAAATACGATTGTACAGCTCAAATTGAGAAGAAAATATTCTTCGTTGGATTGCTTTTTTTCTTCAATGGCATGGTACTGTCGCTCAATGTCAGTACTCTTCCAGAGACAATGGTTATGTTTGGACATTGTAAGCTCGGGAATACCAGGTTTCATAAGCACAACGAAAGACTGTTCCCATCGATACGTTGTAATTTCGACCTTTTAGAGATAAAATGAAATGATCAAAATGCAGAATGGAGTCGATAACACTATGACTAAAACAGCTACTTCTGATTATTTTCAGGGGTAAGTGGCGGTAACAGAACACTGTCAATAAGACGAAAGTACTTCGCGTTTCTAAGGTCAACAGCAAATGCCATACTTAGAAACTAACTGCAAATTGATTAAATGATATTTAAGCAGTCAATATTACCACCACACAACAAGACAATGTCATCGACGTAATCGATATAGAAAAGTCATTCTCCAGAAAAATGATAGCATCGATCAACCAAGATATTATAAAACTCAAAGACGCATCCTTGCACAACTAATAACATCAAAACGCAATGCCATTTAAAAAATCATGAGTGGTCTTACAAACAGAAAACACAAGCGTTGTCGGATTTAAAACCGTTTAGGAGTGTTTTAGCATATAGTGAAGGGTAAAGAAATGGTCAATACACCCACGACATAAACAATTTCCACACTCATTGTGACTCAATCTTTCACCAGTTTTGTACAATCTGTGACATATGGCGGGAACATTTGTTCACAATGTCACACCTTGATGAAAAAGTTTAATATACATTAAACTTGTTTCAACTACATATGATATTGTATGCAAGAAAATGCGACCTAGTTACTGAAATTGAATTACGTACAGGAGAATCCGAACAAGGTATTTAATAAGTCAAGTGTATAAACAAGTGATTTAAAATTCCACCATATTCGTAACTGGTATGAACACTTTTTGATAAGCAACTGATCAACGTGATATTTTTCAGAGTTGAAAAAAACTATATTTTTAAACATCCACCTACAGTCGGTTGAAGTTATTATCTTTTCTTGGTAGAAACAAATAGCAAAATTTTAATACTCTTTTAGTTCATAAATAATTTTAAGAATGAAAAAGAAATCAGAACAGTAGTGAGTAATGTCATAGTAATTGGAGCAATAGATAGTTGGGTTTCCATTGAAAGAGCAAAGCCCGAATTGATCGATATACTGATGCAACTTGAGTACAACAAAAGGTATATGTGATTTAATATTTACTTTTAAAACAAACCATTTTTCAACTAACTGTAAATTTGTCTATTCAGTATTTCCCCTATAAACGATGGCGTAACTAATCAACTATATATAACGCTTATATTATTTAAAATTGGTAACTAAAGTTCATTTATTTCACTTGTTCGTAACATTTCTAGTGTAGACATTAGAGAAAATTATCAGAAACAAATCTCTTTACTGTTATTGAAATAAGTTTAACTAACATTGCTTAATAATTAATGGAAACTATCCAGATAAAAGTGTCAGTCAACTGGGTGAATCGTTTTTACACTTTCTTTGGACGGTGATATATATATCATTCTTGAAGGATTATATATAAAATGGACTTAAAGCATTCTACAGAATCCTAATGAAAAGCAATCAGGGGCCGATAGCAGAATATGATATGGTATTATTATTTGATATGAAAACAAAGATATTATATATCATATACAAACTACGAATTACTGTTAGTGCTGTAAATTCATTAATATCACTTACTTGATTGCCAAGTTTACTTTTAGAACTATCATTTGCTCGTTGTTCAGCACTATGTAGAGAGGGAAGAAAGAAAAAGAAATATACAGAAAAGTATTAATTTATTAAACGACTTTAAAATAACCATCGAAATAAGGTAATGGGGATTGTCAAACTTTATTGACATCAGGAACCCATATAAGTTAGACGGCCATTGAAAGCCTGGAAGCACTGGACGACCGTATAGTCCTAACACGGGACTCTTCAGTAATATGCATTCACAGCCTCGCGACGGGTAATCTAATCTGGAACCAGTCTCACGTACAAACTCAGTTCCTCTCCAGTGATGTGGAAGTCTAACTTGAATCAATTCATTTTATTACGCCGCAATCTTAAATATTTTATATAGGAGTTAAAAGATATGCAAGTGAACTGTCAGCGATTAGCCCACACAAAGGTTTTTAACTACTTTGTACACATTGCACATTGAGTAGTTATTCACAATAATGCATAGGCAAGTCAGTAATCATATACAGATCTGAGTACTACGGGTTGAGCCACATCTTTCTGTGGGGAAGCTGATAACAGTACTTGGATTCTTAAAATGAAGCAGGGTTTACACCTTTAAACGTTTTACGAGATAAACCTGTCTAGAAGCATAACAAGTAAAAGTATAGGTGAAATACATTTGTGAACTGATTCCCCACAGAGAATGTGTGAAGAAACGTGATACAAACGATTTGTGTAAAACAAATTCGAAAAATTAATCATAAACGATTTAGGATTCACATTTTACAGTTTTTGTGCTTTTTTATAACTCATGCAAGTTTAAGGTATGGATCTTGAATGCTACACGTGATCAACGGATATTGAGTTATGATATCAAAAACTGTGTATATATAGAATCTAAATATTTAAGGATTAGGACAAAATATACATAACACTTTATTTGGGTTAGCAGGTAGTATTCATCACAGATCCACTTCAGTTTGGGTAATACTCCAAAGCAGGGAGCACTGAATAGCTCCGCAACAGTGTGCACCCATGATACCTTGAGGACAAACCCAAAACCCTCAGGTCTATGGGTGTTATTAACCATTAGGGCTAGTGCGTTATTGTTTGACAATAAACATTTGCATCTTCACACGATTCGCGTTATAGCGCGACGGTCATTCAATAGGACTGGTGATGAATGATTTACTGTAAATATCCCTGAAATATACAGACAAGGGATCCTCACTAAGACATCAAGAAAGTCACTGGTGACGACACGATTATAGTCCTAATGAAGAGGCTTTCTGAGGTCACATGTAAACACACTACTAAGGAATCCGGGACTACCACGAAATAGTTGTCTAGTGCTCCTTGATTATCAATGGTAACTCAATAGACGTCTATTTATGACGAATACCACCTACAAATTAGACCAATCTCCACAAAACTCCTTCATTGGTACGTTTTTTTTTTGAAGCAAAGAGCAAATCAAATGCTATTATCACGCTTATATATTCGGGAGTTAGATTAAAGTAGTGGGTTGCAGATTCAAACTCCTCATCAACGACTTAGGTTTGCCAAGCCAGATAACCCTGGCAAACAAAAAGTGCAGTTTGAACCACAATCATTTATCCAGTCACTTGACAAGCAACATATTCGTAGTTAGAGTATCTTCAATTCATTTAAACGTGCTTGAATGTAGACAGAATAGGTAGCAAAATCATACTACACTAGATTGCTAATTTGTAGTGGATATGTTCTAAAAAAACCTGGTAAATCGTTATTTCACAATTTAGAAAAAACATAACTGCACACAAGTGTGATTTTAAATGTACAACTGATATTATACAATGAAGTTTGATTCAAATGAAGTAATTATATTTTAATATGCAATATATATGAAGATGAAAACATACTAAGGATAGACAAAAATTAAAAACAATTTTTACATTCTTCAGACAACAGGTCATTTGTTAAAAATCTGATTAATATATGCGAACTTCATAAATACGTTATTTATTTAAAACGTAAATGATTATATAGTATAACTACAATTTATTTGGTACGTTGTTAACACAATCGATGGTGTTATTTTTGTCGGTTATCTTTACTGTCTTCATTCTTTGAAAAATCTTATTTACATATCCACGTATGAATCATCTGCGTAAACAAAATTACCTATTAATAGACTAATTTCATATAGTGTTACTTGACAAATTTAGTTTCAGCAGTAAATAATTAAGTGAAAATTTTGCATAACGCCAAGATTTAAGACAACAGACATGCGATGATTCTATTGATTTGGATTCAACTGTTGGCTGTTCCCGTTTGTTTGTTTTTTCTAGTCCAAATATTGTGCAGATCTATCGTGTGAATGTAATGTATCAAACTAACCATACAACTAACCACGCCACGGCTTGTCATAATACAAATAAAGGTTAATTATGTAAGGTGACTGTTTAATTGATTCTTAACCACAAGTTGATCCAGGCCAAGTTTGAAGCTTTACAGTGGGAACTTCTACAAATCACACTACAGTTAACACTTTAACATTTAAACAGGACTAATATTAGTGATTCATTTTAAATTTAGCGATATTATACAGAGTTATTATGACACAATCCTTAATGGATAGACGAAGAAAGAATGTAAAATACTTTAGTCATGTATATGTGTGATTTTTGAAGTGACGGGATAAAATTGGCGGTTATTATTTATATGGCAAATATGAACAGTAATATTGGGAGGTTGGATCTACTTTCAGTTTTCTAAACTACTGTTCATTAAGCGGACAGCTAAACAGAGGAAAATGAAATAAAAATCGACACAAATGAACCGATATTAGATATATGGCCGATGAATTCAGACACGCCTGAAACCCATTAGCCATGTCCTGAGCTCTGGATGATATTGAAAGTTATGGTTTTAGAAACCATATTGGCCAAGATGATAATTGTATGATAGTATGTCCGACAATCAACTTTTGATCAATCTCACAAATTATAAACACAGAAAAGACATCTGACATCAAACCGTTTGATGCCTGTAATTCTATTTCTTGTTCAGTTATTGAGAACTGACTCAATCTTAAAAAAAGATTGGAATCTGGTGTCCATTCATCATTTAGTCTGTTCGTCAAGGTGTATCGCCCATTTTTTAAATGAAATACTGCTTGTCTGTAAACCTAGTCTGCTTAGAGACCCTAAACAATAACTATCTCTCATCACTGTTGCTTTTTTATACCCTCCGTTTATTTCCATCACAACTGATAAGTTATTTAAGTAGTATCCACTTGGGTTGCTTTGGTACCTTATTATGCTCATAATCGGACCGAGATCCATTTCCTATTATCTCCCAATTCATGAGGCAATCAGATTCACCGATTTTTCATAGCTTTCTGGTGGAGACTGATTGACAAACGTTACTGATGCTTTTACAAAAGATTTAAAACCAAAAGGTGGAGTTTAACTATATGCTGACTGATGAAAATATGGTTTATTCGATTCCATTATTGAGTTAATGTCAGAGGTCTCTAAGTCAATCAGTGCCCCCCTATTTTCGAATTTAGTTTATGCTAAAAGCAACAGATAGTTAGAAACAGTTTTATGAGATGATCATCACTATATTTCAGTTGTTGTGGAACATTGAAAACCTCACCATAATGTTTTTTAACTTATCTTTACAACTTAAAAAAAAGCTAAGCATAATAACTAAATCAGGAGGCCTAGATTTTAGATCAAGAAGCATACACTAAATTTCGTCCTTATTTTACTTGAACCCCAGTTCGCGAGAGCGTAACCAGATACTTCAAAAAGAAAATGCTGAATATTCCTATCCTTCTAAACTCTTACTGTCTCACCTAACTGAACAGCTAACAATAGATAAATGTTCAGTCCAAATGTGTCCATTCTGGTTTTAAATTAAATGTTCTACATACATTCGTAATACTACGAGTTGACGTCAACTCTCTATACACCTTAGGGATGAAGCACGATGGCTTTCCACAATGGCTGAATGATGTCAAGTGAATAACTTCTGTTGTCCTGTATGTATGTTTTAAAAATACATATGATTCGGTATTCGAAAGACTGGCTATTGAGGCGTAATGTCTAATTTAAGGTAAGGCTTGACGCCGTAAGCCCAAACATATATTTTGGATAAAGTGTTAAGGAGACAAAGAATAACATTTCGTAAGAACGAACTGAGAGGAGTAATCGCACAAATGGGCGAAAATTAAGCCAGATAGACATGATAAAAGGACATCTACATGTTAGTTGTGAATAGGATAAAGTCAAATGTAGCGTGAGGCAGGTGAACGATCGAAACATCTAGGCTACACATACTGCGATAGGATATTTATACTGCACAAAACTGGAAAATGACTATATTAATATAGATAGTTTATCAACAGGGAGGGTCAGACACAAAGCATAATAAATCACTGTTCGGTGTAAATTACAGTCGGGTCTTGTGAACATTTGTTGTAGTGTCGGCTCCTTACATTGTAAATTATTTCACAAAGGTAAAAAAATCCGTTAACCAGAAAATTTCCCCATTTTAGTGCCAAGATTCCTAATCTCTTTGTTTAGAACTATTCACGTCTAAAATGACAAACATTTGGAAGAGATTTTAATGGATGTGTGAACAATCAGGAGTCAACGGTAAATAATATAAAACCCTCAGTAGTATAAGCATAGTACGACAGGAGATCTCTTACTAGTACTAAATTACTCATAAAAAGAAACTTTTTGACTATTTCAAACAGTAAAATATGAGAATTCGACCTTAATCACTGTAATCTAAAACAAACATTTTACCTCAAATCCTTGCATATTAACTAATTGCCTAGATTTTCATTTCTCTAAACGTTAGTTTGTAGATTGTGATTAGAGGGTAGATTATTAAATTGGTCTAAATACCATGATGTTATTGATCAAATAAACATATATTGTTCAATACCTTCTAGTTGTTGAATACATTTTTATTATGACTTCGATATAAATAAATAAATATCTCAAAAATTAATTACTTTTGAAAACCGATAAAATCTTCATGGTTTGTATTCATATAAGCTAATTGAAAATCAATTAATGTTTGAATTTGTTCTTTAGTAGCTATTTCTAATTCACGAACCCGCATATTGACAACACGTTCAATTTCTTCACGAAGCCGTGGAAATCGTCCTACCTATGATGAAAGCAAAAGTTAAAAACAGAGAGAGCGCGTGAAAGAAAAATTATAATATAAGATACTATAGAGTAGATAAGAAAATATATAGAAAAAAAAGTGAACAGATACATGGATAGTTACCAAAGGTAAGTAAAAGTTTAATTTATGAGAAATAGAAACAAATTGCAACCATCTAAAAACAGACGTACATGCAGGCTGATACGTTTTTTTAGAGGCGATAAGCTTTAAAATGATACATCATAAGATAATATGGTAGTGTATGTATATGAGTATCTATATAGAAGGGGTTGGAATATTTTATCAGCATAACAAATCAGATTTTCTTCTACTTAATTTTTCGCAATAAGATTAGATAGTATAATATGTGCACATATAAAGTATCTAGTTATACAGATAACCAAATGAAATGGTTAATTTACGCTAAAATCAAGTATGACTTCATTTATCAGATAAATACAAATCATGACAACAAATGTTTCAGACATTAGATAATGCATATACCAAAGGAAACAATGATATTAGCAGGCTTAGTTTGCAGTAATCATAATAAATAAGAGAAATGATTTTATTTTTATATGGAGCAATTGGGGTGAACATTTAACTCATATATATAATCATCATGATTAAATAAATATTTGGTGGAGTTTCGTTCTCTGAGCCGGATGATTTGGTCGTGGAGCTTTTTATTGTTTCTCTGAACATCACAAACTTCAAGTAGAAGTGAAGTATTCGAATTTCTCCACATGTGACTCATAGCTTGTCCTGTTGACCTTTTTCTTGACTAGTTAATCAGCTCAACGAATGAAACTTCACCAAATCATCTCCACTATTTCACAAACAATAAATAACTGAAAATTATTCAAAATAACCGAGTACTACTGGATGGTATTTTTCTTTTAAATCACATTCTCATCAGTACATGTACGTGTCAAAGAGACTCGAAGCAATCAGGCTTAAGAAATGCCAACAAGTTATTGCTGACTGTTGAATCATGTGAAAAATCCAACCAACGATACTGAAAATTTATTTTACTTGGAAAAACAAACAGTTTGATTCCTGTTGTCATCATATTTTCATTGTTTTTCTAAATCATAACGATTTAGATACAAAATCGATGAGTTTGCATAAAAAGCGTATATTTCTATGAAAGGACTAAATATCAATGACAAATAAAATTGTATTGGTAGAGTGGAGATTATAGTCAATATGAGTAGAACTTGCATGAATATTACATAGCAATCTAATAAACGTGACCTCAATTTGTTTAAGTTTTAAACAGTGATGTAATTGTCGTAGAATCTGAGAATTTTGTGTACGTGTTCGCCTTTACAAAAAAAATGTTATTCATGACTGTACTAGTCAGTGAAAGACAACAGTATAGATGGTGAAAATTAATAAAACACTTAGTCAATGTCTTTCGGGTTTTAAAAATTGATCGACTGGATCAGTGAAAACTAGTGGTTGAATATGTAAACAGGTATTATTTCACCTTGTTCAATGATTATTTCTCTATAAACTAGTATCATATTGAAGTTTTATGATGACTCCAATTTCTCGAATTCATTTATGATATGCACAATCTGGAATGTACAATCACCTACACACATACACTTGAATGAACACAAATAACAAACACGTGATGTATGAATTAAACATAATGATGATGTAAAACATTCAATTTATTTCATGCAGATGATTGGTTACTTGTCACTATGCCTTCATCGTTAACACAGAGTGATATATTTTCATATAAAAGTAACTGTATGTGGTCCTAAATTAGTGGTTGATTTATGAGTGAGATAGAAAACCAATATACGCTTATAAAAAAGCTCACACGAATTAATGTTTGTTTATTCATACAAACTCTTCTATGCATATGATAAAAAGCTTGATATATTTTTGTTAAATGAAACATTTAATCCAATAGAATGAAAATCAGTCCTTAGAATACAGTGATTACAACACACGTTCTAAAAACAATAATTATCAAGGATTATCATGCGTAAATATGACATACTGTTAACAATTTCTTCAATATTAACAAAAAGATGAATCATATTTCTTCTACTGAACATGATAAATCATTTGTTAAGCAACATTTAGTGTACAAATTGCAAAAGGTTTGTACATTTGTGTAAAGTAACTATGTTTCTAAGACAATTTATTTTAATTCAAATTTTCCCTATCGTTTAGCCTCAAGAACAAAGACAGTGAAATATTGAAGTTAGGCTAGAACAAAATATAAATGTACAACCGTGTCGGATGTAAAGCAGTTACCCACTGAAGACAATGGAAGATGGTTGCGCGATATCACAGAATGATTGAAGTTAGACATTAACACTATTGAATGCCGGCTCAATAGTCTAGACGTTAAGTGTTCGCGCGCAAATTCGTGGATGGGCATTGCTGAGGAGTACCATAGTATCACGAAACGGCTGTTCAGTGCTTCCAGGTTTTTAGTGGTGATCTAACATTGATCAGATCATGATTTCAATAAATAAATTTGAATTAGGAAAAAATAAAAAAACTGGGAGAGAATAATGTAACTTCACTATATATCGCGGTTTCTCTTCAGCTACTTACAACCGTATTCATATTAAAGTGCAAATTCGGAGTATACACTCTAATACGAATAGAGTTGAAAGCAGCTGAAGAGAAACTATGATATATGGTGGGTTTACATCATACTCCCCCCATTGTTGTCCTGGCCTAATTAAAGTTCATGAAGGGAAACAATTATCTGGAATTTTTATCGGTTATTTTGTTAATCATTTCAATTTGTGCTTAATAGTGATTCACACGGTACAGAAAACTTTGAATCCTGTCAGTATTTTTAGCAGACAGAACCTTGCTGTCCGTTCATTCTAGATGAGGTTACAGCTACTCATAAGCATTATATATATATATATATATATATATATATATATATATATATATATATATATATATATATATATATATATATATATATATATATATATATATATATATAGTTAGGATTAGATTATCGTGAATGAATGTCAATGTATGTGCAAAAGTAAGATTATTTAACAAGTAAACTTATTTCAAAGCATTAATCTTTACCAGGGCGAATAGAGCTTTGAAACAAAATGAATACAGGTTTATTCTGCAAAATCTTCCTGTTTTTGTTCTGTAAGAGCTCATCAAAAAGCATGAAATGTATGAAAAAGAATTGAGCACAGAATGGGAACTTCCTTGAATATATTATGTACATATATCTCTATTTGTAAAAATTTGATGGAGTATTAGAAAAGACAAATAATTCATTTCAGAAAAATAGATAAGAACAACTTTCTCTACACTTTTGTATGCATCATGCTTTAAAATATTTGTTTAGTAAACAAAAATAACTTGGTTACTTTGTATAAACAACAATAATGACGAGAAAAAAAAACTAATAATCTTACTACACTGTAAACACAATCATATCTTGAGGATTAGCTGACACAAAAACTAAATGGTAAAACGAAAAAAGAATATCTATTACATACAGATAAATATACAACAACAAATATAAGAATCGAAGTGAAACAAATAAAAAGTGGAAACGTACATAAGTAATAGCAAGAGGATTACATGGTAATTGTGACGTAACATACAGATTAGATGATTGAATTAAAGTTAGTGAAGAAAAAAAATCAGGAAAGTGTTATATGAAAAAATAATCATGTACACAGATACGCATGCATATACATATTCATACATACATACATACTACACACGTAACATAAACACACAAGTATATACAGAAAAAGACATTAAGTCATCAACAACACTAATTTCATACTACTAACATTTGATGATATATTGATAACTTATGATTCATTAAGTGTTCCGTAAGCGAAACGTGTATAATCTGGTGATAAACGGATGAAAGAATATTAAAGAGAATATCTAGACCAAACTGCTGTAGGATAGTTATATACATATAATATTTGACTTGATGGTAATGAAGTCAGTGTAGAAACGAGTAATTAAATGTTAATAGTAAAACAAAAAGACAGACACTTTTATTTAAAAACATTTCTTCACGCACTGGTATAATCTGAAGAATAATGGAAACGTATAAATTAAAATTCAATGGTATCGTGAAAGTTATTTTCAGATTTAATTGTCTTTCATGAACTCGGGTAATTAATTGCCATGCGGTGACCCATTATTAGAATCGAGATAGATCTCTAGTTGTTCTACTGTAGCATTATGATTCAATTGATACTTATTGAATGACTTACGATCTGTTCTATGAATTGACTACAGTTAAGAAAGTGAACGGAAGGATTTCAAATTATGGGTCTAAAATATTGCGCACCTGGTAAAAAATGATGTTCAACTGTATATGAGATAACGATGCAACTTACTGAGTACAGAATCGTGTACTCAGCTTTGAGTTACGCCTCACGTGTGGGAGCTGGTGGACATTAACCAATTCCCCAAACGGAAGAAGCAAGGGTATATGAACCTGCAAACTAGTGGTTGAAAGTAGAACTACTAAATGACAGCTCCATAAATATGTATAGTTGCGAAGTTTCCAAATGGGAGCAAATAAATATCTAGTAAACCCTGAATCTTAATTGTTTTCTACACATGTAAATCCGTGACAAAAACTGTTTTAGAATTGAACTGAACTCCACAAACTAGGAAAAAAAGTATCCGATAGATGAACGCAATTACTAAACATAATGACGATTCCCGGTAAAAAGGCTAGTCAACCAGACTGGATGTATTGTACTGAAGATGATACGACTGGTAAAAGGTATAATAATTGTCTAAATACAAATTCATGTTTGGGATAACTTGTTAGTTCTTTTAACAACACTGAAAGACACTATAAAACTATGGATCTGCAGGAGACTTTTAGAAATATTTTTCTTTCAGTAGTTAAAAAGATGTTTATTGGCTTGTTATTTCCGAAATCGGAAATTACTTTGTGCGGATTTTTCGCTGTTGTGATTGCTCAGAAAGAAAATATCTATTACTATGGACGACCTCAAAACTATTCTACAAATTCAGAAAGCGCACAGTAATCCTAATCAAATGAGGCTTTTAGATGCACTCACTCAGAAGTTATCATTTAATTCCACTTCAACCTATCAACCAGATACATATGAAAGCATCGCGAATCCCATTTGTGAATTCAACTAGAATCCTGAATCTGGTATCATATTCGATTCCCAGTTCCATCATTTCAAGGACATATTCCGTGTCGACTGCTGAGATTTCGATGATGCAACTAAAATTTGTCTACTTCTGAGAAGACTTGAAGCACGTGAATATAATAAATCTGTGAATTTCATCTTGCTACAGTATCCTTGGGATTTATTTTGTTACAGTTCAAATATTATCTAAAACCAACTGGCTGAAAGCCGAGTATTTTACCTATTAAGTCACTACTTCTTGGATCATTTTACTATGCAAGAACATTCGTTCAATAGGTTTTTATTGCTAGGATGCATTGTAAAAAAATAATAGCGGTATATCGAATCATTTAACACAAAAAAGTGATACTATTAACCGCAAATAAGTCGTTTAATTTCTTAACCCTATCATATCACAAGTATTATAACGTAAATGTAGATGCAAATTGTGACAAGTGAAAAGGAGACTAAATGCATAGTCTTATTCAGAAACAATAGAAGACCCAAATCAAGACGTGGCATCAGTTCACAAAGTCAGTGATAACTGAACTGAGTCGTGTAATTACGTCCAGACCACTAGGTTGGGATCTACACCAGTATCATAACTATTGGTTAGACTTTGAATGTCATGGCTGAGAGACATTCGCAATGACATATGTACATGCATTCTTTGTCTTCCCTTAAATCATATGTTTCTTATTTATGAGAAAAAATTCTTAATTCCACGAATCCACATTGTCAAATCATATCTTGCATGTTTAATCTTTTCTATAACCATTAATACTGTTTCTATATATGCTACTCTGGTATTTCGTTATATTGTAGACTGACAATTTGAAACGATACATACATGTTCCAACTTTTATTTTGTGTTTATTTAACTGATTGAATTAAAAACATAAATAGAGAATAATATATCATACGAATTAGTTATTATGAAGTACATGTAAGATAAACAATGTAAATAGATTAAGTAAATAAATAAACATATACATATTGATTTGGATTTATTAGTGAACAAAGGCAAAGGATGAATATACCAATCGATAAGTGATATATTGATTAATTATTTAATGAGATACACAACAGATTTAATATAAATTAGCATAAGAATGAATGAGTAAATATTCTGTACGTCTTTCATCTAGATCATATAACTGTTAAATATTTATACAGAAATCAAGCTCAGTAAACAAGTAGTTTCTCAGACTCAAATAATGTTCTTTTTCATAAGTGAGGGTTTAAGTTTTTAAAATAAGTGGTAGCAGGATAATTCAGTACAAACTACTTTACTTGAAGCATTAACACAAATCAATTTAGAAAGAAATTACGGAGAAGACAAAACCATGTAGTATTATTTTGAAGTAGAGCAAATAACCTACTAGCGCATAACACGGTTAGCCATGCTATATTAAAATTATCGTGAATAACTAATAACATACCACCGAATCCAATGGTCTTTGGGAGAGGGAAAGGGAAGAGTTCAAATTTCGATGATTGGGAAAGATCCTAGGCTTCGAAATTTCGAATATATTCAGAGAACATGTTATATCAAACTCCTACAGTAATTACTGGACTACTCAATTTTTGTTAATAATGTTAAAGCCTTACTAGTAGTGGTAACTGTGTACACTTTTCTAATTGCATTTTTCACGTAATCTGAGGCTTCTTCTAATTGGCCATCACTGCTTTTCCTTCGTCACTTTTCTGCGTGCCTCGAAGTATCGTATATGTATATATCCTATATTGTTCGCAAATGTTAGGGGCTAATGTCAAAGTGCTGTGTGCCAAGTTAGCAGCAATAGAACCATTCCTATTTGAATAGCTCGATAGTCCCGTGATTTGCAAGTATCGTAGGGCAACTGGAAGTTCCAAAACGTAAGACATAACACAAACAATAACCGACTGTAAATCATATAATTGTGCAGTGTCATTCTCTGCTGAAGTGTTACATAAACTAAAGACAATTCAGGGAAGAAAATTTTGCCTTCGAAGGTATAAATTATTGAAGCTGTACAATTGCATTAATAGTTGATTTACAGTTGAAATAATCTATTTAAAGGGGGAGGACGATTACATCATATCGTTTGTCAAGTAAAATAGGGTAATAATCGAGAATTGAAGAGCGATAATAAGATTAAATCAAGTGTGCTAATTGTCCACCTGACAAGTATGGGATGAGTGAAGAACAAATTAAAAACGTCAAGCTGATAATAAAGAAGAATTAAAATTGAGAAGTTTAAGAACATTAGAAGGATGTATTTATTAACGTTCAAATAAGAGTTTATGAAAGTTCAGTATCAAAATGATGAAAGAATGACGGCTTATTACAATTGTTATTACTATTATTCATGTCTAATACGGGCCTTTAGGGCATATCCTTATGTACTATCAAAAGGAAGTACCCACACGATGTACATTTAAATGTCCAGTATGGATTTAACTACGAGTTCTACAGACAAACTGATGGCATCGCTACGAGTTAACCACTCAACACTTTCTAGAGGACTGTTTCATGACCAAACTTAAGAACTCGGTACTTAAAACGACGATTGGCAACTTTGACTTAAACAAAAGGTATATGGATGACACTTGATTATTTGTGATGAAAACAGTGACCTCAATGTAATTCCGGATAAATTCACTGGTTGGCACCAATCCATTAGATTTAATTGCAATCAGAATCGAATTCCGAATCACAGTTCCTCGATGTCTTAATAAATAGAACACCAAGCGGTACAGTACAAAGGTTTATATATCGAACATCAGCTTGGGATGGACAATATACGAATTTTCAAAGCTTAATTACTTAGACACATATGCATTGGTAAAAGGAGACACCAAATATCTATGCGCCACACTTCGACATTTGATTTGTGTGAGGGCTAGAATACTGCTCGGGAGCCCAAACCGAAGCAGAATCTTCATAGCTGAGTCCCATTAAACCGAAAGAGAAACTTGATTCAATGTTTATCATTAAAAGGCCAGACGAATAGGCTCAGAAGACACGATACACGATAGAAGAAACATTCAACCTACGACAGATATGCTTCAAAAACGGTTGTATATCCAGGTTCGTTGAGCGAAACATGAAACCACAATTAAAATCTGCAATAACTCACACAGTTCCTAAGACAACTCTTCATGAATATTGGGTTCAGGTTCAACCGAGGTACTGCTGTAGAGATTTTGCAGGATCGTCCAACGAAAACTTTGAGGGAAACTTTTTATGCTGGCTAGCTTCATACTGTTCTTTCCCAACCGTCTCATCATTCGTGGATATTTTAAGGACAAACTCTCACATTGGGCCACATAATTGTTTATTTATACGTTTAACTGTTCTTGTGTAGCAAGTTACATTGGCCATACAAGGCAAACGCTCTCTGAATTCCTCGTCAAACATTTTCTTCATTGAATTGTTTTTAATTCTTTTTCAATTGCACCACAGGTTATTTCCATTGTTTGTTAGATAAACGTTTTACATAAGTAGGCAAATGATGCTGATCAGAGTACAACTATCGCTAATTTAATTACTCAGAGTTAAGTACCTTAATTATTGAGTAAAAATATCCTCAGGATTGCGGAATGTGAACTCACTTAAGCGACTTCATCTCTAAATACCGATTTCATCATTAAAAGATTTCAAAAATACCTTTTCAGTTTCCAATAAATGCCTCTTCACTACAACAGAAAATTATTGCTAGTACAACAGTGGGAACAATTACGAGGATGATTTAAAGACCGAAGGATAATAACTACCCTACAAGAAATGTATAAGCTGAAGTAACCCTAACAGAACAAACATTTGATACAGATTTGTGATTCAACATTCATTTTGAAGAGAAAGTTAGTATCAATGTACAAAAGTATATTTTGTTGAATTTGTGAATAAATTTACCTTGTAAATGGAAATAAATTGAAATGTTAGCTCTTTATTTTCTCGAAATTTCCCTGCCATTTGGCTACGAGTCACTTTCTCATGTGCTAAATGAAAAAGTTGCCAAACTACTAAGTCATTGTAAACACAAAAACTTGACAGTTAAAAACAGTACAGTATCATGAGAGACTGAAAAGAATTACTTCATCTATAGTAACAGCAATCTAAATTTAAAGACCTACGTGGCCTAATCATTTGATTTTAAACTAAAAGGAAACAAAAATTTATTTTGAGGACTCTTATGCTATCAGTTGGGATTTTTTACATAGCAATTGCTTCCCATTGGTGTAAACACAAGCATATTTCCTTGTTAAATAGTTGAATAATAAAAAAACGTCGCATAAAATGGATAATTTATTTGTGTGATTAATCAATTATATATGCTCACCTTATCACTACATTGTTGCAAAACATCGGTCAATTTAGATACAACCATGTCAACGCATTTCAATGATGGAATTCGAAGTTTATCAATCTGTTTTCGTACTGTAGCATCAAATGCCATATCAGGTGTAAACAATCCAGGCCTTAATTACATATATTGTCAAACAAACAATTAAGCACAAATTACTGAATTGGCAACATAATAACAAGACTAATACTAATACTAATAACAGTGATAATAATAATAATGATAATTGAATAGCAAAAATAATTATAATTATCATAGTTTACCCGTTTCGAATGTCAATAAATTTAACCCATATCTATACAGCACATATATGTGTATGTTGGATGAATGTTTACCACAATGTAGATAAACTAGTACACGACAATTCACATTACGTTCATATATAAAAGTATGAAAGTAACTTCACCTTTTGAATCAATTCTACGTTGAATACCAAACACAACAACTTGTCTAATACCTTAATTCCATTCAGGTTAAATTTGTATTCAACAATGAACGATGAATTACTTCAAACAGCTAACAGTGATAGTTTAACCTTGTATCATTAAGCATTAAACTAAGTTGGACTGTGATTGGAACATTTTAAGACTAGACTATGAACACGAATGAATGACCAAGCATTACTGAATATTAAACATATCATTTCTAATTATGATGTTCTATGAAGTATAACTGAATCAGCTTAGATTTACGCATCATATGATAGTTTTCGTCAAGATTTCAACCGATAATCAGTATTCTCAATTTAGTTCAAATAACTCGTCAAAACTTTTATCTATTACGTTATTTGTTGAGAATATTTTAATCTATGTTGAGCACAATTTTCCTGTTTCCATCAATAGTATTAAAAACGAATCTTTAGAATAAACTGAATTACACTATTCTGTCAAATTTGATTAATCGAACAAAATCGATTTTTAATATAACCATAGATAAAATTCAAGTGATCGATTTCTACACAGTTCTCGTCATATTTATACTGTAATATTTATGATTATAAAAGATTAACCAAACCTGAGAGTTTATCTAACAAAATAGCGTAATAAGTACAAACTGGTTTAGAAGTTTTGCAAGTTTAAAATTATATATATATATATATATATATATATATATATATATATATATATATATATATTCTTATAACATTTTTATTTCCGATTCGGATTATACTTGATGAAAAAGGAATATTGAGATTCGTACGACACAAGAAAGAAGAAAAAACTGTTGGCAGACGAAGACTTCATTCATTTTGAAAATAGTGCAATGACGTATTAGCCGAATGCAAATTTACAGATTTTACTGGCATTTGATGTCTAGTCGATACACTTCATTCATGATTCAAAATAGTGGGAATATAAAAACGTATTTTACGCTGAAATAATGTGAAAGAATGTAATATGAAGAAACCACATTGAATAGACATCATATTGCGTTTTATCTCGTCCAAATAGATTTCACTACAACTAATCCAGCTACCTGCGACCGTACTAGTAAATGGTCATGAATCAGTAGAACAAACCGGTCGACTTGAATATAAGAGTATGTGTAGAAAATGAAGCTTACAATGACAATTTATCACGAACAACAAAAAAGTAATTCCCATGGTTTCAAAACAATACTGTGAATTGCTTTATGACATAGGAGTATATGTTACCAGAGAGTTTAAAGTGAACAGTGGAATATGGAGAACGAATTTGATGACGCTTCTGCATTTACTGGACAGAATGTACCAAACCTTTACAATCCAGATGAATACCCCTTGGGGGTAAGTGATCTAGTGTTATTGATGTTGTTCAAAACGACAATTAAAACTTCACAATTAAAATATATTAGGCCCAGAGAATGTACTATTTTAATCACTACATTATTGAACACGAAATCATCGGTAAAATCCTCTGCAAAGAACACTTACTTGATGCTTAAACGCACCTAAATAACTTCACGTACATTCACAAGTAATCAATAAAATAAGTAAAATCTATACAGTGAAATTCAGTATATAAATGAACAAAAATCTTTAGAGATTATTACCTATTCAATCCTCTGTAAGAAATTAAAAATGATTTTTTTACCTGACACCATGAATATTTTGAATAGCAACAGCGATTTCTTTACGTAGAGTTTTTTCATCAAATTCAATCTTTGAATAAAAAGTGATACAATAATAACCATACAATTGTTAATAAGCATATATGAAAAGACAAATTTCACACACAGATTTGTACGTATAAGAGGAAATGTTCATCTGTCGTTTATGAGGATTCCTATAGATTAGAAATTTACTAGTTAATAAGGATAATTGATGGATTTAAACATGAACTCTGGTCATTGATTTTTTAATCTCCTATCAGTGCCACAGAACTCTACATTTGAGCCCAGAACGGAAGACAGATGAGAAATACGGAAGGAGCCTTAGTTTTTACGTCAGTTTACGTACAAAACAGAAGTGTATTTTTAGGTTTATGGGTAATCTTGATATTCTGGAAGGATACAAAACTTCGTAAAAAAAATTGATAACTATCCAATCACAATATAGTACATAATCTATCGTTATCCCAGAAATCTCTGGAAGTTTTTATTGGGCCCCAATTAGATGAAGTGTTTCCAGCCTTCTCTTATCTTCCGAAGGTTTTTAGAGGAACATTCAAAGGCTCCCAACAATTATGTAAAATACTAAGTTGTTCACTGTTTAAAGAAACTTATCGATTCGTACAATAAGAGATCATTTACACCTTGAATGAAAAAATCTCGATGTATGAATTGTTTGACGTAAATTTATTTTATCAATGATTCTGGTGATATTGTAGATAGTTGTCTCGGCACACTAGATGCTTTCCTTAAATTTTAATGAAATTTTCTACACGACATACAGTAACTAATCTAGTTGACACCATATTACAGCCATTGATAATAGTTGTTTTTTTCTACCAATTTTTGACAAACCGTCATGAATCAAATGGGAATCTCGTGCTGGAGTATTACAGAAAGATAGTTCGGGAATTTATAGAAGTTTATGTTTAACCTACGTTCGTTTTGTGGAATTTTGCTATAGTTGATTAGTGACGACATTGGTTATCGGTTTTAAAACAATTTAGCTCCATATATAGACTCCCATGAAACTGAAACTCATTATTTGTAATCATCAGACCACAAGGAAATTGAGAATTGTAAGATACGCTAAATACTTAGTTCAAATATACTATTTAGAATTTAACTGGTGAAGGAGGACCTCTTAAAAAAGTTATAACAAATGCATTGGAGGTTCAGAATCTTGGATTTGAGTACCACAGTAAGAAGAAAAGTGAATCTATTAAGAAGTTTTAAAATAAAACTAGATAACTTATGGAAAAAATATCAAATGATGCTAGATCATATACTTGAAAATAAGAATTTGCATTTGAATATTAAACTAGTTAGCCTCACTTCATTTCACTACATTCACATGAGAAGATTATGAACACTTATATGTGTGAAAAATTAAGTTTAAATTATGAAATAAAAAATATGTTTCGCAGAAACAAAATGAATCAACTCAAAATTAATAGGTTATATTCACCACAGATTGATCTCAGTTGAGCTATCACTGAAAATTGGAGAGGAAGGAACAGATATTTCATCCTATTATGGGACTCCTTAGCAGTGCGTAACCCACGACCACCTTAAGGATCGAACCCAGGACTTCTAGGTCTTGCAGAGGATACTTAACCATTAGAACCACTGAGTCAGTGTCCGAGTGCACAATTCAACCTTCAATCAATTGAGAATAAAGCGTTACGATCACTTAATGACACTGGTGAAAATCTTTTACGAATCTATGTTAATCCAAGTCCCCATACCACTTCAGTACAACGACAAGGAATCAACAAGATGGCAGAGTGAAAAAGTATATATAAAGTATCGGAACTCGAGATCCAGAGTAAGATAAAGAGGGAATGCATCCAGACCACTTGAACTGAATCTATATTACCTAAACCTACATTTTTAGCCACTGATTGTGATCATCAAACAGATTATTCTTGATGGCTAACAAGTGAATTTCAAGAGTAATAGACAAATCTTACCTGTGCATCTCATAAGAAATACTTGTGGTACAAATCAATTAGCTGGATTGGCAAATCCACTCATCTGATTCAGCGGACCCCAAAAACTATTCATGCCTGAATTTAAATTTACTTGATATTCACAAAATGGATATTTTAATTTTTTATTAAGATATATTTTGTAAACTAATTTGACGTTAAGTTTCTTCTAGGAAAGTCGAAGTAAACCACGTTTTATATTGAATGATACTTAAAAATGGGAACTCATCAGATAATAATCTTTATTTAAAATTACTTAACCCAGTAACTAAACTGCTTTTCTTGATCAATAGACATTAAGTGATAAATTCGGTTTAAAACCAACCACTAACATATGAATGATTTATATGCACACACCAATTTACAAAATGAGTGGAACATGTGTATAATGCACTTCAATCTATTGTATGCTATTTGAAATACATTAAATTCACCATACAACTTATCTTACCTTGAGTAAATCATATCTAAAACGTTCATGAAACACGCGATTAATCTCAGCGCCTCCAGACAGTATTTGTGTATTAACGTCAGCTACATGTCCACTAATATTTTGGGAAAATTCCGCTTCAAACGACTGAACCATCCTGATAAGATAAAGTAATGAGAAGTATAGAGCAGAGTTAGTGAATATTTTAAACACCTGATTCTTAAATATTGGAGGATTTTTATTTTTCACTTTAACTGCAACAATTTGAAGTTAAGTAAGGTTCATTATGTGGTCTGAACTTAATTATGCCGACCTCCACTTGATAATTCAAGTTGCCATACCACTTGAAAGTTTTCGGTAACTCATTTACCAGATACGCATTTATGTACCTGGTTTTGAGTTGTAATTCAAGTGTCAGGATAGGTGATACAATCCTGATAGAAACATGAGTTTGAACCTGTGAATTAATAGCTGGAATTTGAACTTCATAACCAATGGCCCAACAATTGACTACTTCGAAATTAAGTTCTGAATATTCAACACGGTAGTATCTCATAACAACAATAGAATTCGATGGGTTTAATTCGTTTACTAACAAGCTTTTTAGTCCGACCATTCTACCAATATGTTTTCTGAATGTTTTCACAATGATTAGTTAGACTTCAAATGTTGTATAATAGAGAAGACTCAGAATGTAAAACCGGCTTTTAAGCAAGAAAAAACGAGTCGACTACTAACTAAAGCTGAGGTTAAAGGATGCATTCAGATGGCGGACTCATTTTTATTAGTACTGCTAATGACAGTATTGAACAGGAATCAAGTCCCAGATTATTTTTTAATTTAAATTTGGGGACATCAAAGAAGGAAAATACATCACTACAGAAAACAATTAACTCCCGTCAAGTATTGATTTGGTAATTTTATTGTAAGTGCCCATCGATAGTCTAGCTCAAACGATGTTAGGTAAGTGAGAAATGAACAAGAAAAGGCTTGGAAACGGGGAAAAACTTTTGGAAGCTGTCTACACTCACTAAACAGTAATGGTAAAAAAATTACAGTGAACCTATTAGAAAGAACAAAAATACATAATCCGGCAATTTATTAACATATACTAGCTAAAGAAGTTAGTCTATTGACTTTGTAAATCATATGCTTACACCAAATTACTGATTAATTATTGTTAACTAATCCCAGTTCAATGCAATCAAATTTTATCTAATGATCGGAAATTTAAAATGATGTATGACAGTACATTTTGATCATTATGAATCAGTGGTTGGTACATAAATAAATCTTCATTTACAGTTTGGATGCTTTTTGTATCGAGCTAAACCACTCTTGCTCTGTTGAGCAAGTAGCAAATAACAGTTTATAACGCAGCCATAACAAATAGCCATACGACCAACAATGTTAGCTAATTTCGAATAAATTGAGCATTGGGTTGATTGTTATAAATAAATAATATATTTGTAATATCCCAATGAGTAGAAAATTAGATTTATTTACAACAATGTTAGCATTTTTAAGTTCGTTACAGACGGACTTGATGGTTTATATAAATTATCTCATTCATTTTACTACCTAAAATTTAATTTCTAGCGATTAAACTTAGTTATTAAATCGGTTAGCTAAAGATGAGGTGTGGTACTTTTTTCAAATTGAAATCTAGACTACATTACGTCATAAGATAGAATGAACAGGATAGTATTTAAGTTTCCGCTAGGAAGTTCAAGAAATTGTTTAGCCCGAATAAAAAACCACTGGACAAATGTAACTAGGACAATAATTTGATCAGCAGACAAATATAAAAAAATCTACATAATTATAAAGTTCAATTATAAATCATTAACTTATTTTACATAGAAATAAGAAAAAGGAACTAATTACTGTAGCAATGCTTTTGTTTTATAAGCTGGGTCGTCTGGACGATAATTACGAAAGTCAGAAACTTCTTTCTCCAAACTAATTAATTGGGCTTGTAACCGACTACGTAGATGTGGCAGAGTATCGCGGATATGATTCGTTAGTTGTTGATTAAGTATACGTTGGAGATAAGGAGTTCCCATACGATCAGCCATATGACGATAACTGGGATGTGAAAGGAAAAATCTACGTTCGGCTTCCAAGGCAGCAGTGATATTTTTGCGCCCATCTATGTCTCGCTGGCTTCTGTTGACTACGCCTATATAACCTACACAAGTAAAAAAAATAGGTATGAAAGGTTAAAGAAGCGAATTACAACAAAACGTGAAAGAACTCCTGATAACATGAGAGTAAAAAAATAAATACAAACAAGCAAGCAAAATAATCAATAGACCTGAAATGATAATAATAAATATTATAAAGACTAATCGGGTTTCTACGTAGTACTAAATGTGAACAGTAATTTGTGAAGCTTATTTCAAAATAAATAGCTAAGACCAAGAATAATGGATATGTATTCAGTATTTTGTGATTAGGCCTGAATCTTAAAAATGTGAAAGACAATCTACAACTAAATTAAGGTAAAACTATAAGCGATCGGTTTGGAATAGAATTCTGATGATTGATGTACCAGTTCCACGACTTCTGACTAGTGTTGAGAAGTAATCAAAAAGATAAATGGCATTACACGTTGCCAGAAAACAACATACAAAGAGTGGAATAAGCAGATATGGGATACATTCATGTGTTTCAGAAGGGAACAATAATGAGATATTCATTTATTTCCATTTATTTCTAGCATAAAAACTCAAGTGAATTATGGAGCTGGATTTTCACATCGTGAACTGATAGTATCCTGAAGCAACAGGAGGGGGAAGAAGTTTATGATCAGTAAATCGATTAATATACTTGTTATTTTCCGACAGATACTACTTGATTAAAAAAGCAACCTGGAAATTTCATTACATTGAAAGATCACATCGTGCACTCGCTTTACAGCAGTCGCCATTGGATTTTAATTTGAGATATGTCTAATGATGTTTAAAGCCACAAAATTGTATAACCTACTGAACCTCGCCCAAGAAGTGACGGGCCAACAAATCCTAAATCAATGCAACTATTTTATGTACCAAAACTTTACGTTATTAATTGACCAACTACAAACTGTTTTGTACAAGAACATTAAATACCAGTTCATTGTTTTTAATATCATTGGTTTACTACACGAATAATATCTAGAATCTGACTATCAAGTTATCTGCACAGAATCAAGTGGGACGAAAAATACATTTGGAAGACCTATAATGCATTGGATAATTGTACAAATTAACTCGCTAATACTACTAAATATGTATAAACCTCTTCACATAAGAAATTTGAACAGTTGCTAAGTTTTAGATTAACCTAAGTTTTTGAAATAACGAGTAGTGGATTATGTTATGAGACACAGGTTAGGAAATATCTTATGACCTAACGCAAACGTGCATCCACTGCACATTAAAATTAGCGAAAAAAGATCAGGAGTGACAACAAAGAAACAAAATAATGGCAACGACAGGATTTACGTGAACATGTATAGTAAAATGAAATGTTCACTGACTAGTGAAAATATAGATTGGGTGTATTCATACCGGTGCAATTGATCTCAAGCGACATTTTATCTCCATGATCTCGACTCAAAGAACTTTGAACAATTGGCTGAGCGTTGTGAATACTTGATTTAATCATTGACTAGAGGGTTCAAATACTTCTACAACTAGTCACTAGCAAAAAGTAACCTAGTGTCAGTGAGACAATCTGAGATTGATGGAACGAGAAACATTAACCTCTGAAGGCGTCTTGAACGCCGTCAAGAAACTTCGAGGAACGATCAATCTCACGAAATACAGACTTAAGAAATTGGGATCGTTTGTGAAAGGATGGTGTGGCTGAGAAGTTAGTTAGGACCTTGAAGCCTTTGAACACAAATATCTTAGGCAAAGTGAAAACACATAACCACCCCTCTAATATTTTAATCTAACAAGGGGGTTGTGGAGGGTTGCCCAATCTTAATATTTGTTCGATTCATTATTAGTTTAGCACAGGGACAAGGTCATGGAAGTCAGTATTTTGATCATCAGTTTTTGTCACGTGATATTTAACGGGGATACAACATACCAATTTTACGATGAGGAATTTGAGAAAAAAGGGATCCATAAAAAAGTGACGACGGAGATATTTTGCTGTTGTGATTGCTCAGAAAGAAAATATTTATTACTATGGACGACCTCAAAACTATTCTACAAATTCAGAAAGCGCACAGTAATCCTAATCAAATGAGGCTTTTAGATGCACTCACTCAGAAGTTATCATTTAATTCCACTTCAACCTATCAACCAGATACATATGAAAGCATCGCGAATCCCATTTGTGAATTCAACTAGAATCCTGAATCTGGTATCATATTCGATTCCCAGTTCCATCATTTCAAGGACATATTCCGTGTCGACTGCTGAGATTTCGATGATGCAACTAAAGTTTGTCTACTTCTGAGAAGACTTGAAGCACGTGAATATAATAAATCTGTGAATTTCATCTTGCCACAAAATCAAGAGCACATTTGCGACTTTCAAAGTTGAATTTCAAAGTAAAAGGAAGTATGCAAACTTATAAGTGAATGACAAACCTATTTGTCTTCAGTTAGATACGGCTTCCAACATTACATTGGTTTCCAAAAACACGTACCATAAACTAGGATGTCCACGCATTGAAGCGACCGAACATGTTGCTCGAAATGCTTCAGGAGAGGTTATATGCGAGGTACAATTCAAAGAATATAAATTCGACGGTGTTGGTTATCTGACGAATCGGTATGTTTGGATCTATTAGGTTGAGACTGGATCTAAAAGATTGACACCTTTGATAGTTTATTTAATGGGGTATGTTTTCATAATCCTTCCTCTGAACCTATTCGAAATTCTCATAATATTTTCAAATCAAATACCTGCAATAAAATATGCTATAATAAGATCTCCAAATCTCATACGTTACATCCTAATGGTGTTTCTACAACGAAATCCTCTGTTTCCTACAAAATGCCGAAATCTCATGTTAATTATTTTTGACAAAAACATGTATACTGCAACAAAGTGGGCTGCTGTAAATTTATCAAAGTATTTTTGTCATTAAAACCAAAGCAACAAGGTGTAGGAGGGAGAAATTGAAAAATGGAGGCTCAATTCAACCGTCATCATGGAGCAAAACGTGAAATATCCCAAAATAACGAGGAAGTATACTCGCCTCCTCAGTGGACCAGTGAACGTGCACTTAAGAGACGAAGGAACGTAATTTATGCGGTGAAAGTTGAAGGTCGAAGGTGAATACGTCATACCAACCACATACTGAAAAATTACAGCGTCACAGAAAATTGAGGCACTTGGCTCAATGTGGAAAATCTTTTTAGACAGTTTCGATATAGGTTTTCGACTGGTGATTTTTTGTATTTTAGTTCACCAGATTGATAACGTTTTACAAGGATCACATAGCATGTCAATTTCCCCTTACCTTTCCACTCAGATAAATGGAAGATGATGTGAACAGAGATATACTAAAGCCATGAAAAACGACGGGACACTATTTCATTTAGTTTAAAGTTTATGCAATACTAACATTTAGTTTTACCCCTAGGTTGTTCTATAAACAATAAGCGTCTGTTTGATGCGTGATCCACTGCCATACCCTTTTCTGTTCCAAACTAGATTGAGACAAATTCTCTTCTGTATGTTACTTAGTAGACAGAACAAGGACGTAGCACCGATACTGGACTTTTCTGTCTATGACATGTAAGAAACACCTAGCAAAGTACACGGAAGTGGAGCAAATGTTTTCGATATCAAGTAGGCACGCAATATTATTTAACTGTGGAATGATACACAGGCTAGCGAAATCGCACTTAACCAATTCTCCGATCGGTGCCCGTAGTGCAGTTAGAATTGTGAAGACGGTTTGAACTTCTCGAGTGCCCACACAGTGGGAGGGCTCTTCTGGAGATACCTGAGAAAGAAATCTGGTTAGAGGTGGTCTTAGTGACCCGAGAGTGCGGCCGCAGTGCCCAAGGGTTAAATGCTTAAAGTTTGTTACACATGACCTTTTTGTGAGTAATTTTCGTGTTAGCTCCGTACTTGCTGGGACCTTATCGCCAGAGACGGATATCCGTGGGATAAGGCAAGGTATGTGTTTTTAGGGTCGACCTTTTTTAACCCCACCCTTCCTTGTGGGAAAGCAGCACCGCTCCTATGCTGGTTGTCTGAGGGAAACACCTTATTGCCATCACACCTCTGTACAGTCAGCAATACGACTTCACTCTCAAAATCTGGGTTTGCTGCTTTTAGTCTTACCGTTTTTCAACCGACCTGTGTGGCAGGGTAGGGCCTTGAATAACGATTGTTCCAGTCGTTGTAGCTCGGTTGGGTCATCGCGGACAACCCCGACTATCATGCCAAGGTAGCAGCAACGCTTGGGTCAATGCCCGTAAGTACGACATGTACTATAGATCCTCTATATGAAAAGTGCTTTAATAAGACTGACCGAAGACTATCCCTGGACTCATTTTGTGGTGAAACGCTAGGGGCAGTTGGAGAGTCCGTGTTTCTTTATAGTGATATAAGTGTTAGTTTTGGAGAGAGAGAAAGACAAGATAATTCTACGCATAGTAAAAGCCAGAGAGGCTCATGTTAATCATTAGCCTCATCGTGATCTCAGTCTGGCTGCAAAAGGTTTGGTTTACAACGCGTCAGCGAGGAAAGCTTTGTTTAATGCTTATGAAACGTGGCGTCTCTGAGCTGATGATTTTCAACAACTTTTGTGCTTGTTGCTTACGAAGAATCGTTCACTTCCAGCAGCAACATTATGTTGATTATGCTGAAGTTTTGAAACGTATATTTGAACGCAATGATAATTAGTCACTCTCTTGAAAGACTGACTTCGATAGCTCAGTCGTATCTTACGAATATCATTCCAGCAGTCAACGATGGAACTGTTTGGTAAAGCCGGAGATGATTAATCTACGTTACGGGGAGTGTTATAAAAAATTAGGGGCATATGAATAGTATCTGTCAGTTTATTACGAATCCTCGATGGGAATTCTAAAGATCGTGCAACACAGATAAGACTCAGAACAAAAACTCGTACCGGATCATATTCTTCATAAAAATGAGTACTGTAGAACTGGTATGAGTTAACAGCTGAACTAATGGTAGGAAGTAGAGTACTCTGATCATCTGACCTTGGGATTCTCATTAGCCCTAGTGGGTTGGTATCCGGCGAAATTTCGGTACGGATCTAGAAACCCCAGATGACTTTTGCGACTTGCGTCACTTGTGGAGTAGGCGAGAGGTCCGTTTCCCAACGGGTATGTATACTGCGCAGCACTCTTTTATGCTTTACACTATGGTTGTGAAAAATGGTCTATGAAAGTGGAAGACAAATGTGGGCTTAAAGCTTTTGTCCGTAATTGTCTTCAAAGAATTTTTTCAGTTTTGTGAAGTGTTAGGCAGAGTAATATAAAGTTAGGGAATAGCTTGATGAGGTAGTGAATCTTCATCGACAAGCCATGCGTATGAGCGCAGAAGGCTGAAAGCTAGAGATCAAACCAAAACGCGACAATAATCCATGAAGTTATTGACAGATGTAGACCACCTGACCAAGGTCTAGGTGATAATTGCAATCAGTAGTTGGACATTAAGTGACACGGCTCAGAAGGTATCACACAATTCTATCCGCTAAAACTGAAGTCTTGAATCGCCATAACTGTAAGAAGGCTTAAGTAGTGTAGAGAACACGACGTTTGACACACTAGTTAATCTATGCATTTTTTTGAAAACTGAGATGAATGGTCTCGGAATGCTGTAATGAGACTATAATTTCTGATGATTTACTATTTACTAGGAAGTACTATGTTAAGATCAGCAGTAAAAGTTTTCTATTCTACTAATTAATCATTGATAGATATCAGTCTTATTTTTATGGTCAGAACTTTGAGGAGTAAAATTACGTCCTCAAAACCCAAAACAATTGACTTCGCCTCGAAAGTATATTTTATCCAAAAGCATAACATTAAGTTTGTCAACTAGAACTCTGAATCGGAATACCGGGAAGACGTATCTAACCTAGAGTTTGAACTCTCATACTTTAAGGCAACAAATATACTAAAATAAGCACCAAACAATTGAATTACCTCTTCGCAATGGGAGCAATCTATTTTCGAGAATTTCCTGTGCATCTGTTCCTTCATCCATCAAATCTAACTTTGTTATTACCCCAATAGTACGCAGACCCTGTGGGTCATATTCCTTGGCAAGTTTTAAGGCATCGGAATTAGCGAGGTCTGAATTAGCAGGGCTAACAGCTAAAATGAGACAGGAATCTCTCTCGATAAATTCGATGATCATGTTGCGGATTTGAGTTTCGATATCCGGTGGCTGATCGCCAACAGGAACCTTGGTCATTCCAGGGAGGTCAATAAGGGTAAGATTGAGGACTACAAAGAATGTACGAGTAAGATCAATACGATTACAACACACCGCTGGGGGAATGAATCCTGAGGTTGATTGGAATGTTTGAGATACCTTTATTAGAGCCGGTGATTCTGTCAGTTTCCTGTTCGATTTCCCGTCGGATGTCATCAAAATCCGTGAACTTTTTATTTTTACAGTGAATAAATTCGCCATATTCAACTGTTTAATAGCAGCAGAATAAGTTAAATAAAACCCCTACCTGATTTATCATGAACCAGCTGTAGAATAAGCGGTCTCCTTGTGACTATACCACTGCCCCTTGGTAGAAAATCACTTTAAAGGAGGTGTAATATTATTTATAGCCTACCGCCCCACGAAGTTTTCCAGAACTGAGCTTTTACCAGCACTTTGGCTTCCCACAACCGCAATCTGAGGTAAGTCAAGGTTAAGGGGAAGGTTAAGAGATGCAAAAGCATCCTGAAGCTTATTAACAAGAGGTATAAGCCTTTCCATCCCTTCATTTCCATACATTTTGCAGTAACTGTAATTACAGAAGCTTCGTACAACCCACCGATAACTAGCCTTGGAAGGTCTCTAGGTCAAGCTGCTTATCATAACTTCAAACAATGTACCGTAAAACTAATAGACTATTCTCTATGACGTATATCTATGTAATAGTGGTACTTTCGTGCTCTTAGGATGATATTTATTTGTCTTCAAGAGTAAGTGTACATTCTGGATCAATTGTTAACGCACTGTTACAATAATAGTTCATACTGAAATTTATCGCGCAAAATGTGTGTGGTGAACGAGAATCCAAGAGAGGAAAACCAATTTATTGTAGCCATCATAAATGGACACAAAATGAATTTTTGAAATCGTTTAACAATGTTCTTAATAGTTTCCAATGTGGACTCAGATTTACCAATTACATGTTGTGTTTGACGACGCATATTGATAGTCGTTTAATAATAGGCGGTCATTTTGTGAATTTTATTTTCTTGGCACGCATGGGTTAAGACGTCTATCAAAATCGTCACTACCATGATGAACGAGATTGGATAGTAATGTATATTGTAAATTCCTTACAGGACTGTTAAGGAATAAGTCTTGTATTGAACCCATCGTAACCAAGTGATTATTTTTGTTCTTCGAGTCGCTTAATAGATTAAAACAACCAGTGTTTTGACAATCACTCAATTTATCTGACTAAGGATTGACCACACTTTTATTTGTGATCATATTGGAACTAAAAACATAGGTGAGTTTGGTAGAATATAAGGTTCTATATGAGCGTAATATCGCATTTATTGCTTGATAAATGCTTGAAGGAGCAGATGTTTGAATATCCTATGTAGTTAATGAAAATGAAATTATAATATCGTCAGTTATGTCTTACTCATATTCCATATTGTTACGTTTACCGCTAGGTGAAATGCTCCACGAAACTCCCTAATAGGTTATGTTATAATCTATCCTCTTAATACGATCGTCTAACTGATACTGAGCTACAGGTAGTAAACCTTTTCAGTCTGATGCATCAGTAGATTATGAAGCGTTCAATAATACCTTGTAAGGAAAACTAATAAAGATGCCACAGGTATTTGGAGTTTGACAACACCTTAGGTAGCAACACATTTTCTAATCGAAACGTGCCTACCCAGTGAAATCATAATTCAGAAGCGAAGAGTTTCAAAGATGTATTTCATAGACTATCGATTTATTGAGAAGTGACTGATCCAAGCTAATTAGAGGTCGTAGGCGAAGTTCATCACAGCGTACACATTCGTGATCTACTGCTGATCCGTGACCAAGCGCCTTCAGCTGGATGAATCAATTAAAGCCAGGAAAATCAGAATCAACTGTTAAAGACTTACAGAGCTTTTGACTTTGAGGATTTATCTATCACTACGTTAATATGACTTCTGAATAGGTTAAAGTTAAAATTGCCCGAGTACTACTCAATGACTTCTGACGTTTCGTAAAATTTCACATTTTATCCGCATCACACTTGTTAATATAGACGTTAAGTCATAGATGTTGTCCCTTACTTGTCCAAGATGATATGTTGTGTGACATTTATAAGAGATAATCCCAAAAAAGTGTTGATTTTTGCCAGACACGTATAAACACTGCTTTAAACAGAACTCAAACTTCTGACTAATCAAGGCGATTTTCCTAGATGAATACCTGGAGCTTCTCACTCTAATAAACATGTAGATGAGTGATGATCGCCGTGTCACTGAGCTTGACATAAGTATTATGTATAAAACTGCTGTTGCCAGATTACGTACCACTTACCAGAAACAGTTGGCACAAGACTGAAGATGCCACAGGTATTCGGAGTTTGACAACGCTTTAACCAGTAACACCTAATACGAAGCGCACCCACCAAGTAAAATCAAAAGACAGAAGTGAGGAGATCGAAGATATATTTGATAAGCTATCAATATATCGAGGATCGTTTGCACCAATCTGGCTAGCGATTGCGGCAGATGTTGAGCACGGCCTTCCCACACGTGATCTGGTGCGGATGCTTGACCGAGAGCCTTCAGCTAGATGAGTCCACTAAACTGTGGTCAGCATCCAATGTCGAAAACTTACAGAGCTATTTGATTTTGGGGAATTATTTACCGCTACAAGACTATCGTACTTGCTTAAGACGGTTGCTTTTGTACATTAAAAAAAGAACAAAACAAAGTGATAGAACTTCTTTATCGCAGTTGCACGGGAACTCAGACACACCGGATGAATTAGTAACGATCAGGGCTGAGGCCATATCATAATATGTCACAAAAATCTGCTCTACGATACGGTTACCAACATTTCCCGTAACTACAGATATAGGACTGGTGCTTGTGACTGAGAAGATTGTTCTCCAAACGATTGTCAACCTTAAACCCGGTAAGTAACCGTGCCCTTATATGTACTTGCACGGTTGTGCCAGCCTTCGCATAAGTTGTTTCAGGACCACTCACAGTAATGCTCAAATATCCCTTTCCCAAACTCAACCCCTTAGAAATTGATGAAGCTACAACCAGCCGTATATTTAATTATGAAAAGAGACAAGTCGTGTCTAACTACCGACCAGTCAGTTTAATCAGAATAGTAGTCAATGTACTTGTGAAGGTAATTTAAGGGTGATCATTTTGATATCTAAGCTTATTCAAAAGAATTAGTCAGATGGTCTCAAAGTTGAAAATCAGAGGTTGTTCCAGTGCGCGTTGGACACTGCAACGATCATCAGTGTACCATCAATGTTCAACCACATACATACGTACAGGAACAAAGTGATTTAGGAGTAACAGAAAGTAATGGCTTGAAAACTACTGAGCGTTATAAAGTAGTGGCTGCCAAAGTTTTCTAAGTGATGTGGTCACTTTTCTGATCATTCAAATGAACATATGTTTCGAATTTTATAACCCACCTATGTCAGATAAAACCTGTAATATTTCGTCCAAACAGATGGTCCTTATCTTGCCAGGAATGCTATCACAATTGAGAGTTCTAAAGGTGTGACAGCCAAGCTGGTGACAGATCTCTCCAAGTTCTCCTACGAAGATCTCTTGAAACGCCCAAATCATTCCCCGTATCGTAGAAAACGAGGTGGAATCCCGCATTTTAATTATTTGGAATTTAACATAATCCATCTTTTTGCCCCCCCCCCGAAAGTAATCATTTTCAAGGCCTCAGTAAGAAAGTTCAAAAATCAAGATCTAACAGACTCAGAAAGGAATCTGTAGTGACGGTTAGATATCACTGAATTATCTCTAAAAATCATCATCGGGACTCAACACACCGATCGTTGATTCCACGATGGAAAATAGTGAATGTGAATAATGGTCCAGAGAAGAAAAGGTCGGGGTTGTATGCCTCGTTCACCCTGTAAATCTCTCACTTGATTTTGAATATGCTCTTCGAAAGTTCATACTAATGGATAGCTGACTGCCACCATAAGGACAGTCAATATGGAAGTTGGTGTGTCTTCAGATTAAGGTCGTATACATTAGGCAGCCGAATCACTCCATTGTCACATTGTTTGATTATGATTATTAATCTTGAAGCATGAATGAGTGTATCTACACCAATTTTAGGCCTGAATTTTCTAAATCTGACTCAAATCATTAAACGAACGTGGAAATTTATTTGATTTGCTAGTTTCTATAGATATTGTTCAGTGAAGATTAAGCTAATTTCATCTGAAAATAATGATGCATATAAAATGAATAGCAAGTTGGAAACCTTCAAACACAAACCGATTTGAATTCTTAAAAGTTAAGGTGCTTAACACTAAGATTTTAGCGCAGAGTTGAACAACGCTACCACACCTCTTTTTATAAAACGACCTCAAAGCAGAAGGAAACAGACATACTTTAAATAAAAAAAGCAACCCATAGTGTCATTTGAAAAGAAGTAAAATAATCCAGCTAAGAAATGTTTTTTCCGACAATACCAAGTGTCCGAGATATACAATTGCATTACCAGTTGACTTACAGTTAGAGTAATCTATTGAAAGCAGGAGGACAATTGCACCATATCGTTTCTGAAGGAATATCGGGTAATAATCCGTAACTGAAGTGAGATATCGAGATGAAATCAAGTTTGTAAAAGATAATTGTCAACTTGACGAGTATGGGATGAGTGAAGAATAAGTTAAAAATGTAAAGCTGATAATAAAAAAGGATTAAAATTGGGAAGATTAAGAGCATTAGAGGTGTATCCGTCATAGGTTGGACATTTCCTCGTCCATTGTGTCTTCTGAGCCTACTCACCCGGCCTTTTCTGATAAACATTGAATCAAGTTTCTCTTTCGGTTGAATGGGACTCAGCTTTGAAAACTCCTATATTGTCCATTTCAAATTGGTTTTCTATTTAAAGACCTTTATAATGCACCGATCGGTGTTACATTTCATAAAACATGGAGGAGCTGTAATTTCCAATTGGATACTGATTCAGAAATCAGTGTTTATTTTGACTTAAGATTGAATATAAACCATTTTGTCTACTTAGGAGTTGTGCGTAATGACATTTGTGGAGAGAGTTAGAACAAACTTATTTTGTAATTAGATTTGATACGATTTGTATTTTTTTGATTTGATGATGCTTGTTAACTGATCACCTCCAGATGGAGATCTGTCCAGTGTAACTAATAATGTCAGCATCAACGTAGGAGACTGACAAGCCCATTTTATTTTAAAATTTATGTACCACCACAGCTCTCTTCATATATAGACGGGAAAGGAGGGCCCTATTATATGACGAACTAAAGTTTTAGGTCTAGTGAATCCACAATTTGTAAACATTCTTCAGACTGTTTTCTCCGTTCATTCAAATGCATCTGGCAATCTTTCCCTATTCTGAACGGTTTTGGAGTGCATTATAAAAACGTAGAAAAGCAAAAGGTTTCATTCCTTGATTTCATCCTTACTTTCCTCAGGTTTTCTGGAACTAATCCATCAAGCGTCGAGCTAAAGGCTAATTTTAGATAAATTCATTTTTCTTAAAGTATCAAAAGAGAGCTAATAATTATTGAGATATATTATTTTCAATGTGATAATTTTCATCCAAATGATTAACGTATTCAAAAACAATAATTTTCAAGCGAATAATCATGTTCAAT